CTAAACTAATCTCCTGGGTTTTGTGGAGGTGAGGCGCAGCTTGTTGTTGGATGGTCCAAAAGTAGGCCATTGTTGATCAAACAATGTCGTCTTGTTTGTTTCCGACAGCTTTATGCCTTTGCCTTTTGACAGATGAGACTGTTCATCGCACGGGTTATGATTGTTTATGCCGCGGTTGTTGCTGTTCGGGCTGAGATGATGTTATAATTGGGGTGGTGTTTCTTATGCGAGCTATATTCCGAATTGGCCAGTCTCGAAACACAGGGCCTGGGGTGGTACGAGTCGAGCACGAAACGTTGGGGAACTGGACGCTGAGTCCATGACACTACAGCAACAACAATGGCTGTGTGAGAGAGGTGTTGCTAATGCTTGGGGTGTATGGCTGTCAGGTCAATGGGGCTGCACCGTAGTTATGCACCCCAGAAACAGCACAATATGCAGAATGAGGATGAACCCGTTCCCCATTACCTGGGTATGTAGTGCCATGAGTTCGTACGAGTCCCCTTAATAAACATTGAAACACCCCGTTCGGTTTTGTGGCTCTGGGTGTTTAGTTTGGGGATATTGGACGGCTTGACACATTGCGGAGAGGGCCCGTTGTGTCAAACGGTAGCACTCGGCGGTGGCGACTGGATGGAGAGAGGGAAAGCCGTTGCAGTGCCGTGTGGCTCAGGCCCTCACAGGCTCATAGGACGCACCAGCTCGATTGACGGTAGTGCATGATCTTTTGACACGCAATTGCACCCCTTGGCCGTGCGGACGGTTGTCTGGATTTTCTTGCGTTGAGTGCTGGTTCATGCATGCTGTGGGGATTGGCCATGGGCGCTTGACTGGTTTGGGTCGTGACGCAGGCCCACGTTGTTTCAGAAGGGGACAGCCAATCAGGGCAGGCACGGCTAAGGCTGGCTCTTTCCCTCTGTGTTGGCCGTCAATGGCCCACACGTCGGTCAGGGCGAGTGTCTGCATTGAATTTCCGCCTCTCCAGATGGAGCAGCTCGACAGGCGCGATGCTGCAAGTGTACCATCAGAAGCGACGTGGTGCGTCCAAATAGGTGAATACCGGCTGGGTAGGCATTGGCCAGTCGTCGCCCTAGCACCAACAATCTCCCGAGGCGCCCCAATCGTGCGTCGAGGGTCCCTAGAGCCCGCTCTCGCTTGCACTACCCCTGGTCAGCGACCTGATGCAGGCCGTCAGGCTTGGCTACCGGCGCGCAACAGTGAATTGGGCCTGGTATTCTCTCGGGAACAAGCCCACCGCCAAGCCGTTTCACATGCGGACGCTTCTTCGCTGAGCTTGGTGACTATGGCCTGGACACTTGCGACGCGAGTACATGAGGTCGTCTCGTCCGCCTGGGCACCTTCTCATCACTCCTTCCCAACGGTCTTGGTCCTTCTGTCTTCCTGCAACCCCACACTCTCTCTTTCCATTCATTTAGAGTGCTCTGTCTCTCTCTTCATCACTCGCTCTTTTCTACACTCACTCACTTTGCTTACTTTCGTCACCCGCACTTTCTTCTTCTTCTCGCGTGCTGGCACGTCTTGGCCGATACGCCTTCCTCCTCAGACCAGACTTGCCTGATACACGGTTCCGTCGCACCTTCGTTGCCTGCACGTTGATGTAAGTCTCCAAGCTTTTTTTCCACTCTGAGGCTGCCACACATTGTGTGCCTGCACTACCCTAGTCACTCATCCTTCTCGACCCCACACAGCGCCATTATGGTCTGTTTGTATGCCTGTCTCAATAGCCGTAGCTCTAATCGCTATATAAAAGCGACGTAGACTGTCGCTAGTCTGTGGCTTCACGCGCCGTTTGTTCACAGCAGGGCTGTCACTGACTTGCGTCCGTATAGCGTTCCTTCTACATTCATTCTCAGTGACTACCAAACTCACTACAGTTTCGCTTCTACGCCTCCAACAACTTCTTGCCGGACCGGATCCTCCCCGTAATCAACATGAAGTCTTTCTTCGCTATCGCTGCCGGTTTCTTGGCCGCTGGCTCTTCAGTGCTCGCAGCTCCTACAACTGGTTCTGAGGGCTTCATTAACAAATACGCCCTCCCAGCAAATCACTCCCTTGAGACCAAGGAGTACATCATTACCTGGTGGCGCAACGACACAGACCACAGGAAGATCGAAAACTACCTAGACAATCTATCGCTCAAGTCGGGAGATGTGCTCAAGGCCGAATCCTCACCGGGTGTAAACCCTCAGTGGGCCGTTGTCGAGATGTGCGACGACCACGCCAAAATCTTCAAGGAGCTGGCCGAAATCAACGTTGTAGAAGAGAAGGCCGATGTCAAGTCTTTTGCACAGCAGCAGGGCGCTCCCTGGGGTCTGCAACGAGTCTCGAGCGCAGCCGGCGCTACTGGATCCCCACAAGGCCAGGACTTCGTTTACTCTTTCGACGATTCAGCCCTCGGTGCCGGTGTTGACATCTACGTTATCGACACTGGTGTGCGAACCACCCACGCTGTCTTCACTGGACGCGCTACTCAAGGTTTCACTGCTACTGGCTCCTTTGTTGATGGTGATGGTCACGGCACCCACGTTGCTGGTACTGCTGGTGGCGCAAAGTTCGGTGTCGCCCAGGGTGCCAACATTATCGAAGTCAAGGTACTTGGAGATGACGGATCTGGTGCGTCTTCCGACACCATCAAGGGTATGGACTGGGTTATCGCCAACCATAACAAGCGCAAGACACAACCAGGCTTCGTCGGTTCCATCATGAGCATGTCTTGGGGTCTTCAGGGTACCGCCAACTCAGTCGACGAGATCATTGCCGGTGCTTCAGAGGCTGGCATCCATATTTCAGTCGCTGCTGGTAACGATGGTATCGATGCTTGTGGTAGCACTCCCGCTCACCTCGGTGGCAAGAACTCCGATGTCGTCACTGTCGGTTCCATTAACATCGACAACGAGATCTCATCTTTCTCCAACATTGGCCAGTGTGTTGACATCTACGCCCCTGGTGAGCAAATCTTGAGCTCCTGGAGCACTGGCGACGCTGTCATCAACTTCCTTTCGGGTACATCCATGGCCTGCCCTCACGTCACTGGCGTGATGGCCACCCTCATGACTCAAGACGTTGCTGGTCTTGGTCAAAACCCTGCTGCCCTCAAGGCTAAGCTCCTTGCAACTGCCCGCCAGGGCGATGTCAAGGGCAACACTGGTGGAAGCGCAAACTTGCTCCTTAGCAACGGTGTTGACGGAGCTGTCAAGCGTCTCACCAAGAACTACGTCCTACCAGATCACAGCGGCTTGAACGGTAGCCCAGCTGCTCGTGCTGCTGCTGCTGTCATGACCAAGGATATCACCCTCGACAAGCGTTTCCAGCTTCATTCCCGTGAGGCCAAACTCCGATTCTAGAGAGAGCATCACATGAGTGCATAGCAATTGCATGATACCCCTCATTGTTGGTACCTCTTCCGAAAAGTTTCCACGGCATTTCTGTCTCATCTTTGGGCTCTTATAGCCGCCCTATAATAATTCAATGTATCTGCATCAGCATGGACTGGTCTCCTTTTCGTCATCAAGTGGGTTGTGTGAGTCGGAACTTAATTTCGCTGTCAATACTTTTTATCCATTGCATTGACCGGCTGGGGTGGAAAAGGACATGGGAGGGAAATGTATACGTACGATACGATCCTTACACGGACAGTTATATGCGTAGCCAAGCCAGTCGGCATTCTAGTCGTGTACTACTTAGAGTCAATCAAGTCATTGTACATATCATTCACTGCTTGTACCATTTCCTTTCTACATTCTACATCCAAGCCGTACTTCTGTATAGGACAACTATCTCGCCAAAACTTGGTGCGATTGTATCTCATCCTTCACCCGGCAATGAAACGCGAACAAAGGCATCACAAGGCGAACAGTTGAATGCCTAGAAGACAACGGCCCCACAGTCGCCTGAATCGTATATGCACCGCCACCCCTGCCAAGCTGGTAGAAGATGTTGCAGGTAAGTTACTCGTCTGCCTTCCATATATCCGCGATGCTGGACGTTGATCATACGGCAAATTCTGATAGTGCCTTGGCCAAGTCAGTGCGGCAATGGTAAATGCAAGCGATGCGGGTCAGTCAATGCTGGGATTTATTACCTTGTGGTCGATCAAAATGGTCACGTGCAGATATATATACGCTTTCAATGCACTATGCTAAGGCTATTATTTTCTAGAAGACGGCCAGGGATCTTTCCAGAAGAAGAAGTGTGATGTTGGGTTGCGCTTTGGAAACGAACGTACATCGTCGGCCCTGGAATGGCTTAGCGCGGAACAGGTCCCAGGCGCCTCCAGTGCGACCTGGGCAGGTACACGTCTAACTTCACACCTACCAGTGTCTTTGACAACTTCACAATGCTAAGCGCTGCATTGAAGTGTATCTGCATCTTCTCTCAGTGATGGAAGTTCTTGCCTTTCAGCTGGCCACGCCACGTCACTTTCATCATCGTCTGATGGCGTCCGTGAATCACGCTTCACGCACTCGACTTCGGTAGCTTACTGCGCGCTTTGAAGTCACGACCAGACCTTCTTCTAAATGAATCCGTCTCCACCAATGCTCTCAGTTCCAGAGATGATAGAGTATTCAAGCGCCTTCAACAACTTTATGCTACTAGATCCGTTTATCTACACGTACGCGCCGCCACCGCGCTTGCGGTCACTTAAGCGCTGACCATACCCAAAGCTCGCACGTTATGGATCCACTGCACGCTTTGGGCACTACAAACCTCCCAAGAGATACTCGTTTCGGTATAATGGTCATCAAAAATTATCTCGACGCGCCAGGAATGCTGCTCGTCGTTTCTTGGTTTTTTATTATTCGCCGCATCGCTTGCCAAGCATCGTAGAGTCACTGTGCCACCCTCAGATTGAACATTAGGATGGATACGCGGCTTCCCATGATAGATCAATATGTCACTAAAGGATAGCAACGTCTCGCTATATATTTTGTTGGAGGTACGCCGACTATCAATCATATTAGTTGTTGAATGTTGCAACAATGTCTCTTGAGTTGAATTCGAAATATGTAAAGACAGGTGCATGGTAAGAGGCTAATGCTGGATTCTTCATATTCTTCGCAATGTGTTGCTAATATGCTGCTTTTGATAGGACGAACGTGGATGGAGGGCCAGTTCTGGGAAGGACTATCACGACTGATACGCAAACAGGCAATCTTGTCGTTGCCATGCTAGCTGTGTTGTCAACTCTAGGTAATATTGACGAGCATCAGTCGTCGGGAGAGAGAAAAGTGACTAATTAAGATAGGAACTGCGCATCTTTGGCATCTGATCGCGTTTGCGATTCATCAAATCCGCGCCAACGGTCGTCCAGCGGATGCCATGTTCAAGCAACAGCAGGCACTGCTGCGTACGCTTCCAACACCCAGCTCAGTTGTCGCCGAAGCGCTAAAACTATGGTGGGCCTGGAGGAAGAACACAGATCGACCCCTCTTACGTTCCATGGTATTGGTACTTGTCGCAATGCTCTTCACGGCGGTCACAGTCGCGGCGTCCGTCTTCTCATCCTTTGTCGTCGACAGTGGCTCCATCGAAGTGCTAGTCAACTCGCCGCTATGCGGAAGAATCAACGGGACTGGAACTGCCTGGAGGACTTACATCACCACTTTAATCGCGAATGCTCCTGTCTACGCCGGAGCGTGCTACCGCAATGGTTCACTCCCCGCCCTCTGCAACGATGCCTTCACGAATGTAAACATACCACTTACAGTCGGAAGCACGCCCTGTCCGTTCAATGAAACCATGTGCGGTACCAAAAACGCCGTTACTGTCGATTCAGGCCTTGTAGATGTCGGTAAGATGTTCGGACTAAACCTGGCTGCCAAAGATCGTGTAATGTTTCGGAAGAAAATTTCCTGTACCGTTTTACCTAGTGAAGGGTCTTACGAAGTCTTCGACTTAGAACTGATACCCAGTCTGGTACCTGCGGATCGTTTCATCTTTCCTGGCGAACAGATTCTGGCCTTGTTGTACGGACCAACAGATCGGACGAGAATAGAGAGCTACATAGGATACCTCCTTGTGTCTAACATCACTGGTAATCCAACCATTCCGCTGTAAGTCAAAGGTTGTTGCGTACAATGGATTGTGCTGTAACTGATCTCTTCCTCTAGTGGCTCGGTATGGTACAGATCGCCGGTCAACAGGGTGCCGCAAGGGTGGTTTCCTCTGGAAAGCTTCTTCCCTCTTCAAATGAACGATGGGCCAGATGGAGATTTGATTTTGAAACCTTTCATGCAAAATCGCCTTATGTTTGCCACGCCAACTAATGACCCGCTGTATTCTTCACACAAGAATATTTCTTCGTGGGATCTGGGTCAAGAGGTCACAAATTATGCGTCTGACGACCCTGTGAAAGGGGTTGCATGTACCCAGCATGTGAGTTGGAACATTCAGTCTTGCACGAGAACAAACACTAATATGTCCAAAGTTCCAATACTGTCACGCTAGAGACGGTCAGGACGATTACTGCACACCGTTCCAAGGTCTACCCTATCATGAGATGAACAAGACCCATTTTCCAGATTCCAGTAGCATGCAGCAAGCAGTACTACAGCTTCTTATTATGTCAAGCTGGCTACACACTACTGCAAGGGTGCAGACCAATCAAGCCTCGGACTTAGAGGGTCGGTCTACCTACATGATTCCGTCCATGCCCGACGACTTCTGGAAACGGGAGGTTTTAGGTTGGGAACAGGAGGTCTGGGCTGCGATGCAGATGGCCGTTTCTCAATACGCGATTGGGCCTAAAGCGAGCGATCCATTTGCAGATGCGTATGTTATTGCGCCGCAGACTGAGGGCGAGAAAGCGCTTTGTGGAGCGCAGAAGATGAAAAAGTCTGGTGGATTCGTGTGAGTGTTCTCATATGCTCCTGGACATCCCAGGACTTTTACTAATCTATACCAGCAACATCAACATCTTCGGCCTCTCCTTCGTCATCACTTTTTCCATCCTCGTCGCAATCGTCGACATCACGCTTCTAAAATTCCTCGTCTACCTCACTCGCTTCCGCCGTGCACTCGGCCCCCGTATCGCTCGCTGGACACAAGATGGAGTATGGCAGCTCCAGCGTCGAGCCTACGAAGGCGAAGGCCACCGCAACTGGACCGATTTAGAGAGTGAAATTCCGCTCATGGAGAAGGGGCATAAACTCAAGGATCTGCCGATTATGTGGCGACCTGGCAAGAGCCCGATGGTAAAGCAGCCGTCTTCATTCGCTTCAACAGATTCTATGGTATCTCAGCAGTTGTCGATAAGTGAGCTAGCGGCGGAAGACGTGGTAGACAGCGCACCGGTTATTACCGAGCAGCGGAGGAGCTGGTTCAGCTTTGTGCGACGTTAGCCCTCGTGTTTTTGTCTGTAGACGAGCAAGAACTGTGCATGTACCAATTCCAGGTTTGCTAATCTTGTTATACTCTTTCAAATCATTCAAAGACACTTCTTGTTTCCTTGAACAGTGTTTTTCAAATTCAAAAGCTTTCTCCACACTATTTTTCTGAGAGCCGCCTCTAAGTCTTCCTCAGGCAACCCTGACTTCTCGTTCCAAAGCCCATGAGGCCTCAGATCGACTAATCCGAGCTTGCCCATGGCGATACCTCTAGTCAAATCCATGGTGCCAGCAAAATCACCCGATTGGACTCTTCTCTTGCCGTTGGCAAGGAGGTCTTCGGATCTAACGTGCACAACATTCCACTTCTTTCCATCAGCCTTCTCGATGATGTCAAGTATCTCGCGCTGAGTGTGGTGGAAGGGCGAAACAAAGACGTACTGATTCTTCGTCTCGTCAGCGTGATCAAGAGAGGCCTTAATGGCTCCGGCGATCGTTCCCATCGTAGTGGAGGCCCAGGCGCTAACTCCATCATCGGTCAAAGTTGCAGTCTTGTTCGGAAGGTCGAAGCCGAAAAAGCCGTTTCCTCTACCCCATTCGAAGAATCCGCCTGTAATCAGGGCCGTCTATGATATTTGGATCTCTTTTGTTCGAAGGTATTCAACGGGAGCTTTCTTATATGGGGTGGTATACGGCTGGAGCTCAAGCATCCTGAGATCCCTGGTATAGGGACCATATTCGCTTGGGAAAAACCTCTTGACACCAGTTGCGAGGGCGGCGTCTACAAAGATCTGTTGATCTCCAGCTGCATGACCGCCCACATTGCTGATCACAGCATCTTGCCCTTCCATGGCAGCCTTGACCTCCGCTATCGCTCTCTTCGCTTTATGTAAATCACCCTCTCTCTCTCTCTTTCCTTTGTTAAGGCCGCGTCACCGGCTCTGACACCCCGTCCTGTGGCTGTGGCCCAAAGAATGTAAACAGACTTTAAGCTTCAACCGGCGGAAGTTTGAATCCAGACATGTATAGATACTAGAGTAGGGTTTACAGGGTCAGTGTTGCAGCGCTTTACATACTCTGGCTTGCCCCGCCCGAATACCCCATGGGAGGTTTCAAATAGGGCGTCAAATCACAATCAATCAATCAATCAACCTTGACCTCCGCAAAGTCTTTGTAGTCTGCTTTGAAAACCTTCACACCGTCCCGCAATGTTGCAGTAGACTCTCTGCGACTAAGAACGCTCACTTCATAAGCTGAATCCAGGAATTCGTTCAATATTGGGACACCCAAAGCGCCTCCCGCCTAACACATACAACAGTCAGTACTCTATTTGTGCTATGTGTTTGTGGAACAGTGTCTGTGTTTTTAGATTGAGTAAAGCACTTACGCCAATGATCAACATCATCTTGTATGAATCCATTGATGCAAGATTAAAATTTGTGGAGATGAAGATGGGAAAACTTTTTCGGCGGGAGCTCGTTTCTTTTTGCAGAGAATTGTCTCTCACTAAGCACCGACATGCCATAGTCATGCCTTGATGGGTTGATGATGTTCTCCCTAATGGCCTCTATAGATGAGGTTGATATTGGCATTGGAATGTTGGTTAAACATTGATGTGCTAAGCGGAACAGTTCGCGCTTACTAAGTCAATAAACCACGGCTCTCCACAACAGTCTATGGTAGGGCAATGGTATATCCAACATGCAAGGACGACTACTCAATACCGGGTGCAGCATTCAGTAGCACTGCACCATTCAACAAAGGTTCCCGATTTGAACACAATATAGCGATCAAACTTGGGAGGTTCGATTCTCAATCCAGAACGATTTATGCTCTCAAACATGCTAAAACATGCAATCCGTCATCCGAAGTACATAGAATACAAAACACATCTCTCGCTTTCCTTTCTAACCCAGCCAATCCTCTAGTACGTACGCTTGAACGGCGGTACAGCCTTGCACTCAGCCTCGTCCAAAGTAGTACCAACGACCTTCCTGTAGCCTAATTGGGTCTCACCGTGGGGCTTCTTCTGCCACGACAGTGTGTGCTTCATCCATTGCTCATCATCACGGTCGGGGAAATCCTCACGGGCGTGGGCACCTCGTGACTCCTTACGGTTGGCGGCGGATTCGGCAGTTTGAACGGCGCAGGTGAGGAGGTTGCGAAGCTCAAGGGTCTCAACAAGATCCGAGTTCCAGATCATGCTGCGGTCCTTGATACCAACGTTGGCGAACTCAGCGTCGACGTCGTGGATCTTCTTGACACCCTCATCGAGCGACTCTTGAGTTCGGAAGACGGCAACGTCGGTCTGCATGACCTTCTGCATCTGGAGGCGGACTTCGGCAGTCGACTTGGGGCCATCAGATGTGCGGATCTGGTCGAGAACGGAGATGGAATCAGCACCAGCATCAGCGGAGACGGGATCAGCCTTTTGGCCAGGGCTGAAGTTATCGCGGATAGTGTGGGAAACAGCACGACCGAAGACGATAAGATCGAGGAGAGAGTTGGCACCAAGACGGTTGGCTCCGTGGACGGAGACGGAGGCAGCTTCACCACAAGCGAACAGACCTGGGACGACCTGGTCATTACCTTGGGCATCCTGAGTGATGACCTCACCAGTGTACTTGGTAGGAATACCACCCATGTTGTAGTGGACCGTGGGGAGAACAGGGATGGGCTGCTTGGTGACATCGACACCAGCGAAGATAGCGGCAGTCTCAGAAATACCAGGCAGACGCTCATGAAGAACCTCGGCGGGCAGATGGCTGAGCTGGAGGTAGATATGGTCCTTCTCAGGACCGACACCACGGCCTTCACGGATTTCCAGGGTCATCGATCGCGATACAACATCGCGGGACGCAAGATCCTTGGCAGTTGGCGCGTAACGCTCCATGAACCGTTCACCCTCAGAGTTGAGGAGGTAACCACCCTCTCCACGGGATCCCTCAGTGATCAAGCAGCCAGCACCGTAGATACCAGTGGGGTGGAATTGGACGAACTCCAGATCCTGGTTGGGAAGACCCGCGCGAGCAACCATAGCCATACCGTCACCAGTGCAGGTGTGGGCAGATGTGCAGCTGAAGTAGGCACGTCCGTAACCACCAGTGGCCAATACAGTGTTCTTGGCAATGAATCGGTGGATGGTTCCGTCTTCCTGGTTGTATGCGACAACACCCTTGCAGACGCCGTCCTCCATGATTAGATCCGTGGCGAAGAACTCGATGAAGTACTTGGTGTTGTGTCGTAGCGATTGTCCGTAGAGAGTGTGGAGGAGAGCGTGGCCGGTACGGTCAGCGGCAGCACAGCATCGGTATGCTTGACCACCCTTTCCGTACTTCTGGGACTGTCCACCGAAAGCACGCTGGTAGCTGTAGTGCGTTAGTATGTTCTATAAAATTCAGGCGAGGGGTTCTTTGTACATCTTGCCGTCGTCTGTTCGCGAAAATGGGCAACCATAGTTCTCGAGTTCGATAACAGATTGAGGCGCTTCTCTTGTCATGTAGTGAATGGCGTCCTGGTCGCCAAGCCAGTCGGATCCCTTGACTGTGTCGTACATATGCCATCGCCAGTCGTCCTCATGCATGCTACACATGTTCGTCAGCTTCTGGAACTTCTACTAGACACCCATCGTCTCTACATACTTTCCAAGCGCGGCATTAATTCCACCCTGTGCGGCTACTGTATGCGACCGTGTGGGGAAAAGCTTAGATATACAGGCGGTGTTGAAACCAGCTTCAGCGAGACCGAACGCGGCGCGAAGACCAGCTCCTCCAGCACCAACAACAATGGCATCGTATTCGTGGTCGATGACGGGGTATTTACTGGAAATGAAACCCGACGCTTCCTTTGCCCTCAGGTTCTCAGTAGCGAAAATGCGTTGCGCTGGCCGGGTTGAAGAGAAAGCTCGTGTGGTTGGGCGGAAGCTCCTCGCGAGCTATGAGGCGAATGTTAGCCATTGAACCAAGAGAGAATCGCAGGAGAATATGAACGATTCAAGGGCATTGTCTGCTACTGCAAGCGTGTCGTGTTGACGTGCGACAATCTGCCAAAGCCATGTGGGATGTGGCACACGCCTCGGTGCGGCGGATGCCGAGTTTATCGACCGTCGACCGCGAACGTGTGGCATGGAAAGCGTGCAGAAACTCACCTGGCTTGCAAGCTGCGTACGACGCATCCTGAGACAACTCATATTGGCGGTAGCCGAAGAGCGGAGAGTATACGGGAGTGCGAAAGGTCCTTGTGGATTCGAAGTTGGAGGTCAATGATGGCAGTTGCGACCGACGGCGTTACTTACAAACTAAAATCGGAGGGCGCTAATTGGATCGGTAGGCCTCGGCTGCATTGCCTCTCAAGTACCTGCCATTCATTCCGGCTTTTCTTCTTGATGAACGCGATGCACGTTTGCCTCCATCCCAGGGTCACGCAGTCCATATAGGCTATTAACATACATGCCCTGAGTTTGCGTGTACGCCTTGCTGCACAATATGTCCACGACCACAGACAGAATCCTGCCAACGATTCTCAGCCACACAAGACAGCTGTTTGCTCGATACCGCCAACTTTGGACACTCAAAGCCATGTTGGTACTTGAGAGACACATGACAACTGCTGTCACTTGGGCTGACTCATGCGACTTGTCTGGCCAACAATTGTTGCCGCTGGCGCTCCAGATATGGAGCCTAATTCGTCGTCGTCATAGACCTTCTCACACGATCACACGGCCCTTCCCCAGCCATTTGTACTAGGGAATCTTCTCCGCAAGTTGCGTATTCAAATACAAGGGTTCCTACTAATATTAGTATGCATTCGGTCCCTGTTATTTAGTAAAGCCTCGACTGGACACTACATTTATGCAAGAGTTGATTTCCACGAGAATACCAATTCTAATGATTCACTTCTGCTTTGTACTGTGCGCCGTCAGGTTGCGAGTTTGAACCATCTGCCCGTGTTCCGCTCACCCACGCCCTACACCAAACGTACTACTAGCTACGCGAAACCAGCCCCCACAGAGACATCACGGAAACCGATTTTGCAGCTGCTGATGCAAAACACGATCATGTACATCACAACACGAGAAACGCAGTTTGAATTGGGGAATCGTTGAATTTTTTGTTCAATCGCTCATGACTGGCATCCATGTTGTAGACCTATCCCGTGCGCCCAAGCCCATGAGAAGAAAGCATGCACTCCGTAGCACCACCTCAAGACTTCTAAGACGAAGTCTGGAGGTCCTTCTTGAGGACACCCTCGTATTGCCTCTTCTCTGCCGGTGTCTGGTAAGCACCGTGACCGAACTTGGAAGAGGTGTCGATCCACTTGAGCTCGACCTTCTCCAGCGCCCTCCTGCTGGTGTGGGTGAACATGGACTTGCGCAGGGTCATGACGCGCTTCTTGACACCAGGGCAGTTACCCTTGAGGAGAACGAAGTCGTTCTTGACCTCACCGTAGCGGACGAAGCCACCCATGCTGGTACATGTTAGTAGTGATCGGCGTTTGGAAGGACAGAATAACTTACGGTGTGATGCGCTTCTTGGAGACATCGAAGTCAGTTGAGGCGTTACCCTCGTCGTCAGCCTTACCGATACGGTAGATCTTGTGGTTGACAGAGGTACGGTGGTGGTAACCCATCTGACCAGCACGGGCAACAGTCCATTGGACGTGGGCAGGATGCCAGGCACCGATACAGGCGACCTTACGGAGACCCTTGTGTGTCTTACGCGGGAGCTTCTTGGTGCCCCAACGGGAGGTGACACCGTTGTATCCGTGACCCTTGGTGACGGCGATAACGTCGATCATCTCGTTGTCCTCGAAGATGGAGCTGATCTCAATTGGCTTCTCGAACAGACCGTGACCGTAGGAGACCTTGTCGGCAATGCTGCCACCGTTGACCTGGATCTCCATAAGGTGGGCCTTCTTCTGCTTGAGAGGGGTCTTGTGGATCTGGGTGTGGGCGAGAACGCGGACGACGGTGCAGTACTTCTTCATGCGCTCGAGCTCGCGGGTGATGGAGGCACCGCTCTCCTCAGAGTGCTTCTTGGCGTACTTGGTGAAGGCCTTCTTCTTGCTCTTGTACCAGTTGCGGTAGAATCGGCGCTTGACCTCGTCGCTCAAGTGCTCGGCCCAGACGGTGGTGAGCGAGCGAAGACCGCGGGGGGTCTCGATGTAGCCGACAAGACCGACAGCGATCATCTGCGGTCGTGTTAGTGGTGCACCAAAACTGGTTGGGGTCGGCTGTGCGTACAGGAGGAGTCTCGATGACTGTGCAGGCCTCGACAATCTCCTTCTTGTGCAACTTCGCACCAGGACGGTCAAGGTCGCGGACGATTGTGGTCATACCGGCCTTGTAGCCCATGGCGGCCGTCAGGTGAACGGGCTTCTTGGGGTCATCCTTAGGGAAGCTGGCAATTGCAGTGAGCAGGCTGTCGGACGGCGCTGGGCGGCGGTGCCATGGAAATTTACCTCTTCACCTTACCCCGGTGACGGGCAGCGCGCTTTCGCGGCAAGAATGCCAGAGACCCGTGGCGGGGAGCTTCGAACTTCCTGTGGGACATGGCGAGTTCGATGTGCTATGGTTAGTAGTGTCGAAGTTGTCAGAAGTTCGGACTGACAGCGAAAACGAATATTCGTTGTGGGAGCCGAGCAGATGGGCGCTAAACTGCGTTGGGGCAGGCGCGCGGTCGTGCCAAGGCCGGACGTGGAAGGCGCGCCTCCCCCACTAAGCAGTGAATCGAGGTATCAACTAACACGCTTTGTCTCTGTACCTGCGCTGTTGCTCCCTGCATCGTCGCCCGCCCTCGTCACTCTGCCGCCGAGTCGATCCTACCGGAGCTCAACAACAAGCCCAACCCACCGCTGACCCCGCTATCGGCCACTCGACCAGCAGACACCGCTCCCACTACATCATTCCCCATCGATCACCCATCCACCACCCTCGACGTTGGCGGCGCTATCTCACCACGGCCCTACTACCAGCTCGACAGATCGCTTACTGAATACATATACACCATTCTTTAACCAGCATATCGGAGCAATAGCTACCCTTGATCGCACGCCGCTGCTGCTCCACAATCCTTGTCTAGAATCATGGTAGAAGCCGAAGGCAACCCCACGACGTGGAAGTTCACACAGTACGTACCTCTCTGCACGCTACCTATCGCTGTCAGCTTTGCCGGCTTGCCTGTCCCCGTGCCTGCTAGTTTGCTCAGACCGCTCTGGAAACGCCACTGACTTGACCAGATGCTTCGGCGACAAAGGCGATGTTGAAGATATAACCGAAGGTACGTACCCATTTCTTACCGCCCCGTCCTCTGTACATTCGTTAATACCTGCATGCAATTGCTGACAGCGAGCGCAGCCGACATCATCTCAACCGTCGAGTTCGACCAGACGGGCAATTACCTCGCAACTGGTGACAAGGGTGGCCGTGTGGTCCTGTTCGAGAGGAACGAGACGGTATGCTCCTCCTCTACTAGAAGCCTTCACCGTCGGAAAGACTAACATTATGCAGAAAAAAACCTGCGAGTACAAGTTCCACACCGAGTTCCAATCGCACGAGCCTGAGTTCGATTACCTGAAGTCTCTCGAGATCGAAGAGAAGATCAATAAGATCAAGTGGTGCCGCCGGCAAAACGCCTCACACTACCTGCTCTCCACAAATGACAAGACAATCAAGCTATGGAAGGTATTTGAGAAGTCGCTAAAAGTGGTGGCGGAGAACAACCTGTCGCATGAGTTGACACCTGGAGGTGGGGTTGCTGGTGGAGGCGGTCCCGTCAGGAACCCGAACGCACAGTTCCGCAGCGCCACCGACCTGAAGCTTCCACGGCTCACACACCACGACACAGTTGTTGCTGCAGTACCACGAAAGACGTATGCGAACGCACACGCCTACCACATCAACAGCATATCGGTCAACAGCGATGGAGAGACATTCATTAGTAGCGACGATTTGCGAATTAACCTCTGGAACCTCAACATCCAAGACCAGAGCTTCAACATTGTCGATATCAAGCCGGCCAATATGGAAGAGCTTACAGAGGTCATCACGGCTGCGGAATTCCATCCGATTAGCTGCAATTGGTTCATGTACGCAAGTTCCAAGGGCACAATCAAGCTGGCCGACATGCGCGAGAGTGCATTGTGCGACCAGCATGCGAAGCGTAAGTCGTCGACTGCTTGCCCGGAAGCAATGCTAACCTCTGCCCTAAGAATTCGAACAGGAAGAAGACCCATCTTCGCGATCCTTCTTCTCCGAGATCATCTCATCCATCTCTGACGTACGGTTTTCGCATGACGGGCGATACATCTTGTCACGCGACTATTTGACAGTCAAGATCTGGGATGTCAACATGGAGAAGTCCCCAGTCAAGACGATTCCTATTCACGAGCATCTCCGACCAAGGCTCTGCGACACCTACGAAAACGACAGCATCTTCGACAAATTCGAGGTCGTTTTCTCTGGAGATGCGAAAAACGTCATGACTGGCAGTTACAACAACAACTTCATGATATACCCGTCTGACAACGACAAAGATACCGAGGTAGTATTACAGGCAGATAAGTCTGCCTTCAAAGCCAAGAAGGTTGGAATTCCAACCCCCATGAACTCGTCGACAAGCCCGACAGGTAGCAACACAAGTAAGAAGGGTGGTTCGAGAGCCGGCAGCCCCGCTGCTGGTGCAGTTGGACAAGGGCAACGTATGAGGAAGGAAACAGACGCAGACCAGATCGACTTCAACAAGAAGATCTTACACATGAGCTGGCATCCATTCGAAGACAGCATCGCTATCGCGGCAACAAACAACGTAAGCATATCTGTCCTCCTAAACTGATGACCATACTGACAATCTGCAGCTTTTCGTCTTCTCCGCATTGTAAGGGCAGTCTTGATTCACGAATATCGCCAGAGGATACATGTAAACCGGAGCATTAGCCTGTTAGGTTCTTGGTCATCTTTACCCTTCCATCTTCCTTTCAATGTTGGCAGCAGCCTGCCAGGCGGCGCTAGGATGATAGAACAGGAGCATTCTTGGCGAATTGGCGTGAGAATGCTGATGAGGGACGTCGCAACGTGGTCAACGACCGGACAGCTGCAGATCAGTGTAGATTGCAACACCACTATAATGACTCTGAGTGGTGCAGAGAAAGAATAAAAGAAACTATAAATAATGAGTGTTGGTCTCACATTGCATGAGACAGCCCTCGAAGTGCTGGGCCAAAGCTGACAATACATGACAAGCATACTAACAATGCGTACATGCATCTCTCCGCAGCATGAGCGGGAAATTTCTCTTAATCAAATCAATTGACTTGTTCCATCAGATGCGTGAAGGTTGTGAAATTCAAGCTTTGTTCTAGAAATTTGCTTGATTCGGCAAGACCCAAGGTTGATCCCGTTAGCGTCCGTGGTGAGGCTCTTGACATCCCAGACTTCCACGTTGCGTCTCACAGCTTCAAGTCTTCCTCTGCAACGTTCACAAAATCGCAAGCTATGATAACCACATAGAAAGATTCTACAATCGCTTTTCATGTAAGTGCATATATTGCAAGACTTGCGCACAGGGGGTGGGCTCGCCTTATGCTCTATACGGTTCTGGGTACTTTCTGCACCTGCCAGCTTACCGTCATCTGTCACTCGCCTACGTCACTTGTCTAACAATCTCAGCTCGACCACTTTTTTGCTTCGAAAGTCTGGCACTATTCAAATTCCACTTCGGCAATTCATCTCAGCTCTTGCGCTCCTTGACGTTCAGCATGGCGGCTATCGCGCCCGTTATCAGCAGCTTTTCGCTCATTTTTGGAGGATGCTGTGCCAATGTAAGTTTGTCAACGGCATTGCGAAAACAACACTAAAAAATACAAAGGTTTACTGCTTGGAAGCGATAGTAAAGTAAATAGGTTCGAGCTGTCGTTGGTAGCATAACCGCTGACAGCACTTCAGACAGGAGCCTGATAGTGGTTTACTCATCACGCTCTTCCAATTTGTGTTTACATGTCTATCAACATTGCATTACCAGTTCGACCCAAACGGTCGCTACTTTTTGAGGAGCTCGCCGGTCCCTTTCCGAAAGTGGTGCGTCAGCGCTGCGTTGTTCTTCACAGTCAACATGTTAAACAACTGGGCGTTTGCTTTCAATATCTCCGTCCCCGTTCACATCATCCTCAGGAGCTTTGGTAGTGTGACTACCATGGCGGCTGGATGGCTTCGTGGCAAGAGATACACTCCTTTACAAGTCTTCTCGGTTGCAATTCTGACGCTAGGCGTCATGGTATCCGCATGGGCAGATGCGCAATCGAAGGTAAGCTTATATGTACCATCAATCATTCGCAGATGCTGATCCTGAATCAAGGGCAAGAATATGGAGGCCTCGAGTTCCGACGGGTCCAACTCGTCGCTTCAAGCTGGTCTCGCCATCCTACTTATTGCTCAACTGCTCTCTGCATGGATGGGAGCCTATGTCGAAGACGTTTATCGCGAGCATGGCAAGGACTGGCAGGCCAATCTCTTCTACTCCCACCTGCTGTCTATTCCGTTTTTCGCGGGATTCACCCCAGTTTTGACCCAACAGTTTAAGCGCCTACAGGCATCGCAGTCATTCGAGGTGCCACCCAAGGTGGCCGAAAGCCTTCCGCCACTCGTCAACAGTATCTTGGCCTCGACATCGCAGCACGTCATCTACCTTACCGCCAATGCCCTGACGCAACTACTTTGCATCACTGGCGTCAACATGCTTAGTGCAAACACATCTGCGGTTACTGTTACGATAGTTTTGAACATCAGAAAACTGGTAAGCTTCTTGCTGAGTATCTGGCTCTTCGGGAACCAGATGAGTGGGTTGATGAAGGTTGGCGCGGCAATGGTGTTTGGTGCGGGCGCTCTGTACGGATGGGAAACGTCGTATCGCATTCCACAACAAAAGAAGCTGGAAGCTGAACAGGGAAGGAAGCGTCAGTGATTGCAGAATGTATGCCACTTGAAGGGACTTGATGACGTGGTATCGACGGCAATCTAGACCTACCCCCGGCGATGTTTTGCCAGGAAGTAGGCGACGGTGGTATCTCGGAACACATCGAGCACATGAAGATCGTTCACATCACCGTGCCAAGAATAGATATCCGAAATCACTTCACCAGAGCTCCATTACCCCTCGCTGGGGGGGCTGTGATCGTGGTGGACCAATGACCGCTAATGCAGGGGCCAAGTGCAAGCGAGAGAGCCTATTAGGGATTGGCTCTTCCGGACCCTGAACTCGCGATTAGGTGTCGTGTCTCTTAGAGTGCAACCCCAACTCTCTTTTCAATTCCATCAAACCCGTTCTTTTCTTTGTGGGAGGTGAGTGCACCTCAACTTGTTCAACCGTGCCGCAGCATTGCAAGCTAACAGCCAGAACAACAGGTAGCTTCATCGAGCTATAGCCCACCATGTCTTCACCTGCTGGTAGCGTCCGCCAGCGCCCAGGCAAGGACAAAAAGCGAGGAGCCTCACCAAACCCAGAAGCTCTCGCCGAAAAGATGTCGGAGAAGGTCGCCAATGTTGTCGAGAAGGCCAAACCATACAAGCCGGCCCAAGTCCAGCAGGGCAAAGAGTGGGATTACAAGCTCGCCATCGCAATAATGACCGTTCTGGCCTTCGTCACGCGCTTCTGGGGGATCAGACATCCCGATCAGGTTGTGTTTGATGAAGTGCACTTTGGAAAGGTGCGTATATCATCCTCAGGCCTCTTATAGGTGGCTAATCGCGCTTGCAGTTCGCTTCGTACTACCTGCAACGAACCTACTTCTTCGATGTCCATCCTCCTCTCGGAAAGCTCCTCTTTGCCCTCGCTGGCTGGCTCGTCGGATACAAGGGTGACTTCCTGTTCGAGAACATTGGCGATTCCTACATCACCAACAAGGTCCCCTACGTCGCATACCGCGCCATGCCCGCCTCGCTCGGTGCTCTTACTGTTCCCATTGTCTTCATGATCATGTGGGAATCCGGCTATTCGCTACCCGCCTGCATCACTGCCGCCGGTCTTATGCTTCTTGACAACGCCCACATTGGTCAGACGCGTCTGATCCTCCTCGATGCTTCGCTCATTTTCTTCATGGCGCTCTCTGTGCTATCTTACATTCGCTTCTACAAAGAGCGACACGTTCCTTTTGGACGGAAATGGTGGAAGTGGCTCCTTCTGACTGGCATCAGCCTGAGCTGTGTCATCTCCATCAAGTACGTTGGTGTCTTCACTTTCTTCTCTATCGGTGTGCCGGTCATGATTGACCTTTGGGACTTGATGGATGTCAACCGACGACAGGGAGCCTTGACTCTGGCCGAGTTTGGCAAACACTTCGCCGCCCGTGCTGTTGGCTTGGTCATCGTTCCCTTCTTCCTATACCTTTTCTGGTTCCAGGTGCATTTCGCCATTCTCACTCGATCTGGACCTGGTGACGACTTCATGACTCCGGAATTCCAGGAAACTCTAAGCGACAATGTAATGAGCCTCCAGTCTGTTGGCATCAACTACTACGATTCCATCACCATTCGCCACAAGGAGACCAAGGTCTATCTTCACAGCCATCCCGACCGCTACCCGCTGCGCTACGACGATGGACGTGTCTCTTCGCAGGGACAGCAGGTTACTGGGTATCCTCACAATGACACCAACAACCACTGGCAGGTCCTTCCTTCAAGGCCTTTGTCAAGTGAAGTCGGTCAACGCGTCAAGGTCGGAGATACCATCCGTCTTCGCCATTTGATCACAGACACCATTCTCCTGACACATGACGTTGCTTCTCCTTACTATCCCACCAACCAAGAGTTCACGACTGTGAACAAGGAAGAAGCAGCTGGCACACGTTACAACGACACTCTCTTCGAGCTGAAGGTCGACAAGGGCAAGGGCGATTTCAAGACCATGTCAACTCATTTCAAGCTAGTTCACGTGCCAACAAAGGTTGCCATGTGGACCCACACTAAGCCTCTCCCTGACTGGGCCTACAAGCAGGCTGAGATCAATGGCAACAAGGCTGTCCAACAATCCAGCAATCTCTGGTATGTGGATGACATTCCATCCCTTCCTGCTGAGGACGAGCGCAACAAGAAGGAGCCCAAGCAGGTCAAGCACTTGAGTTTCCTCCGGAAGTGGGTTGAGCTCCAGCGCGCCATGTTCCACCACAACAACGCCTTGACTAGCTCGCATCCATATGCATCTCAACCCATTTCCTGGCCTTTCCTGCTTCGCGGTGTATCTTTCTGGACCCACAACGATACTCGCCAACAGATTTACTTCCTGGGTAACCCTGTTGGATGGTGGCTTGCTTCCTCGCTCCTTGCTGTCTTTGCTGGCATCATTGGTGCCGATCAACTAGCTCTCCGCCGTGGCATGGATGCCCTTGACGATCGTAAGTTACTGTTACCCTACATTCAACCCAGATTATTCGCTTTCATCTTGGCATTTGTATTTGAAGGGGAGGTTCTAACATTCATGTCTGTAGGCACTCGCTCTCGTCTTTACAACTCCACTGGATTCTTCTTCCTTACCTGGGCTGCCCATTACATTCCCTTTTATATCATGGGTCGTCAGCTCTTCTTGCATCACTACCTCCCTGCACATCTCGCATCTTGTCTAGTCACTGGCGCGCTAGTAGAATTTGTATTCTGCATTGAACCTCAGGATCCCGAGATGCCGGCCTCTGCCAAGGGTCACCGCCGCACTCGCTCACGTCCTGTTCGCGAACGTGTTGCTACTTCCAGCCTGGCGGGCAGCTGGATCGCCTGTGGCGTCATCCTTGCTGCCGTCTTCTGGTGCTTCCTCTTCTTCGCACCGCTCACGTACGGTAGCCCGGGTCTTACTGTTCCTCAAGTTCAGTCAAGGAAGTGGCTCGGCTACGACTTGCACTTTGCTAAATAGATGGAGCACGCGTGGAAGATGCACGTAGGTGTGGGGTTGGAGAACTTTCTATTGGGTTAACTAGGGTAAAATGTTGCACAGCGTGGAGTGCTGGTAGTGCCATTCAGAGGTTTCAGTGTATTTTATAGTGTTTTCTGCCTTTGGACGTGGCTGGGTTGGGGTCATCGCCTTCAAGCACGCGAATATTCTCCTATGTATTAGATATAAAGTAAAGTGGTGAACAATGCATGACATACTCATCACTGTACAACTTTGCAGGCTTCTGACATCATGTTTTAGCACATGTCTACATATCTCCTACGAGAACTGATCGGGGTTTTTGAGCAACAGTGAAGAGAGATCAAGTACTTGGATCTAAGTGAGCCAGCGAGGGACAAGGCTATATCGACATCGTAGCGATCGGCTATGCGTCTTGATGATTTAAACGCCTCCATGCAGCTTCCAAACGCAATCCGTACCAATCTCCACCGTTCGTGTGCCAAAGCAACAACTATCGCCGAGATCCCCATCATCCCATTCATTCACCCGTAGTCTCTTGACTTTCCTTTGTAAAAGCCAGTCATCGTAGCTCTCATTGGCATGATGCTCATCGTCTGGTTTTGCTGGGACAACACGTTCGCTACCATGCTTTTCAAAACTCAAACTCGCCTCGAAAACGCTCAACATCCATGCCTGGACCCACAATATCAGAGAGATCCCTACGGCCCATCTGGCCGAACACTCTTCGTAACGTATCGTACAGGTTTGTGCTTTGGTTTTGGTGAATCATGTTGTCAAGTTGGCTGTCAGAGACACCCTCGCCAACAACTTCCCTAGCTTTCTCCTTACCTTCACGCTCGACGACCTTGTGCATAGCTAGCGCACCGAGCAAGTGCTGTGCGGCTTCAGTGTAGCAGCCAATGTTGATGCATGACACACCTAGGTTGTAGCGTGCGCGGACAAAATTTGGTCGGAGTGCGAGAGCGCGCGAGTAGGCGTCAATGGCCTCTTCGCTGCGGCCTGAATTTGCGAGGGTTGCACCGAGGCGATTCCAGAGAAGATGGACTTGTGATGAAGAGTTTGAGACGCCAGATTCTGTGGACGCAAGAGCGGCACCGAAACAGTCGACTGCTTTGTCATATTCTTCTACGCCATAGAACAGCACACCCAAGCCTACTTGCACGTCGGGATCCATTTGCTCGCCACTTGGCGAAAGTTGCGCGGCTTGAATGAAGAGGTTTGTAACTTTCTCGTGAAGCAGGTGGCGGTCTGTGAAGCCCATTTCGGCATCTGAAGAAAGTGGCTCTTTGATTAGTGACGGGTACTTGGTGGCCAGCCAGCGTTCCAGGGTTCGGTATGCGGTGCTCTCATAGCCTTCGTTCGTGTAGGATACAGCCAGACCCATGAGAGCCTCTAGGTTAGACGGGTCCTGCTTCAAAGCATGTTCCAACGCTCTTATAGCCGGTGTTTCCTTCTCGTTCTGCGCTTGCGACTCGCCCAATCTTACCCAAGCAGCAATGTGATTCGGGTCTTTTTGAACAGCTGCCTCAAAAGCTAGGGCTGCCAGCGAGAGGTTTCCGCCGTCTTCCATGATCTTCACACCTTCCTCAAATGGATTTGTAACGTTCTTGAAGAGGTTCTCCTGCTCAAATAAGTAGTCGCCCATTGCCGGATCGCGGACCGAATGTGTGTTGAGCCCGTCGAAGCCTTCCCATTGGTCCATGTCGCCCATGTGTCCTTCGACGAAGTTCTCCTCGTTGGCAAGTTGCCTAGCGTATTCAGTCTCAGCTTGGATACCCTTCCAAATGGACTCGAAATCGTCGAAATCAACGGCATCTTTCTCTACTGACCTGTCCATTTCGTTGAGCTCTGCCTCCATAGCCTTGTTCGCCTCGGCGTCAAGGGCACTCAGGTCCTGCTGATCTGTTTGCTCAAGCTGTGCGAACTGAGCCTCCCAGTCCTGATCGTCGAGCTCCACCATGCGCCCCTTGCCTTTGCCTTCCTGCATGGGCTGTTGGAAGTTCTGTGGTGCGTATGGCTGCTGCATCATGCCCATACCGCCCATTCCCATGCCCATATTGCCCATGCCCATGCCCATTCCGTACATAGGCCGCTGGTATCCTGTCATCGAAGGCTGAGAGGCGGTAGTTGGGCTCGCCGTTCGCGCGGCTGGATTCATCTGCTGAAACTTTGCGAATTCAGCAGGATTAAATCCTGCTGGTCTTTCTTGCATGGCCGGTCCTCCCATCTGTGGCGCTTGCATGCCTGGGTCGAACTCTGCTGCCCATGCTGGTGATCCGCTGTGCTGTGTCCGCTCCAGCTCTCTCCGCATCTGCTCCATAGCGAATGGAGACGCGGGACCGGGTCCCTGTGGGAGTTGGACATTCTGGTTCATGAACTCGTTCATCATCTACGCAGCGCACGATTAGCCATGTTTCTCACTTGCCCACAATCGCCGGCTGCTGTTCCCAACTTACGCCATCTGAAGGACCGCCCATTTGCTGGCTTCGCATGCCCTCCTGCATCCCTCCAGGCCCCCGCCCGACCAGGCGGTCTCTCTGTAGCGACTTGTCATCCTGCACGTGTTTGGTGAACTGGCTGAGCGGGTTCGCGCCTGTGGAGCATTCTGCGCCACCGAGAAAAGACATGGCAAGAGATAACTATTTAGAAGATGGTGAAGCGATTGCTATGACGCGAACGACGGGGACAAGAAAGTATGTACAAGTCGGGGTCGAGTAAGTGCTAGAGGCGCGTCGGCCGGTTTAATTGATCAGCATGTGGAGAAGGTACGCGGGGCGGCCGAGGTCGCTGAGCCGCCACACAGAGCGGGTGAATCTGCCCTTGAATGGAACAGCACAGCTTTGCGCCAACACATAGTAGTAGATCTCGCCATACCAAGTATCTTCACAACATGGACTGATAGTGTACATTGGCAAAGTTTTGTTAGGTCAGCATGCCTCTTGTAGACCTTGATCCCCTACCATGCACAAAGAGAGATGGGAATATAACAACGCCAGACGCTCATCCACTATGATACAAAAGTCATGTCTATCAACACATTATGCAGCCAATGGGCTACATGTCCCGGTCGTGCAATCGTGCAGAAATACCAACCATTTCCGCCGTAGATGCATCGTTGTAGAAACGGGGTAGGCGACCTTCTCCTTGCATGTTCTCACAGTTCTGGGCCTCTTTTTATCATCGTCCCTTACTCCTGGGTAGAGTCGGAACGCTTGCTGCGCTGTTGTTCCGTACCAGATTTGCTGAAGTCAACGCGGAGTTGCCTGCCGTAGATGGTCTTCTCCTTCAGAACCTCCCTGGCCTTGGTGGCGCTAGCAACATCGATGAAGTCTGCGTGAGCAAAGCCTCTGGGCTGGCCGGTCCTCCTGTCAATGGCCACACGGACATCCATGACGTTGCGAACATCGCGGAAGAGGTCGTTGAGGTCCTTGTCTGACATCTCGAAAGACATGTTGCCAATGAACAGCGTCTTGGAAGGAGGGTTGGCTTCGAATTTGTTTGTGATCGTGTTGCGGGTTCTGGAGTTGGGCTTGGGTTGGTGGAACTGGACGACGAGGTTGCGGCCTTCGAAGACCTGCATGTCGAGGTTGTCAAGGGCAGCTTGCGCATCCGAGACGTTCTTGAATTCGACATATCCGAAGCTGCGTGAGAGTTAGCATGTGTGCGCAAAGACTAGCTGACCAACATACCCTCTGCTTAGGCCTCGGTTGTCGTAGACAATCCTGGTGCTCTCAACATCGCCAAACTTGGAAAAGACGCGCTTCAGTTGCTCTGCAGTGACTTCGTAGTACAGGTTGCCAATGTATAGCATGTTGTTGGGGGGATTAGTCCGTGACTTCTTAAACGTCTTGCCTTTGTCTGCGTGTTCAACGGCAGCATCTAGCGCTTCGGCACCAACGGTAGCAGAGGCGTCGGTGGGCTCGGCTTGCACTTCTTGCTGAGCCGGTGTCAAGTTCTCCTCGACGGGTGCCTCAGCGGCTGTCTGCGCAAAGTTCTCTGGGGTGTCGGCGGCAGCAGCCTCAGCCTGCTCTGTCTTTGCAGCTTCATCGCTAGCGAATCGTCTCTGGAAAGATGATATTGACCATTGCTGTTGTCTTAGACGGAAGGCAGAGGGTGTGGCGGTGTTGATGGATCGGGGCTTCGCAAGGAACGCCTTGGAAGGCGACGCAGTGATGGCGCGGACGGCAGTACGGCGAAGAAGAAACCTGCATTGATAGGTTAATGCCACCACTCCAATTGCAAACGGGATCGAGTCTTACATTATGGGCGATGTGAGGGACGTTGGCTAGTTTGACCTTCTTGCTAAAAGTCGGAATACGGTAAATTTTTGGGCATGGATCATAGATTCGCGCTAAGCATCCAGCACGTGAGCGGCGTTCACTCAAGCGTCTGCGACATGAATGATGGCATTTCTTGATGACGTATTGCATGGGATAAGACTATCATCAATGTCGTTTCCTCTTCTATCCGCCGAAAAGCGGCACTATTGCTATCTCCAATGACACAGTACTCCCCTCACATGTGGCAGAGATAACTTTGTGGGGTATGGTCCAATTGGCAGGAGGGGCAGCTTCCACACGTAAACGAGTGCAGATGGTTCCAACCAAATACTCGCTCCGATCCGGCGTCTGAGCCTGTCCCCTCGGGTACCTTTATCTTGGTTTGCAGAGCGCATTCATGAGGACAACATTTCAGAATGCCATGTAGGTGGCATTGCAGGCTATACATGTCTGTCTCGGCAACAATGGCTTGACCCTGCCGATAGCATCACAAGCCGAGGATGGAGGGGCCGACTAAGCCTAGTAAACTTCCCAAATGAAACATGAATGCTTATAGCCTCCATGTCTTGTTCGCCATAGGTTGTGTCCTTGTACTAGAAGAGTCTGCAGAATGAGCATGCCATGGAGTCATCGAATCCATAATTTACAAGATGGCACGGGGCCAGGCGACAGGCCGGCGGTCTCCGAGGCGCGTTCCTGGCGAGGCTCGTTTCTAAAGTTTGTGTTCGCTCCAGCAACCGCAACTACCACCTCTCCACGGCACCATGTTGAAAGGTAGTACATCCCAATCCCTCGATACGAGACAAGCAGAGACTGATTTGGAGACCAGGAGCCTTTTCTGCCGATGCAGATGCGTCTCCGGACTTTGGCCCTGCCCACGATGACCAGATCCCCTCCTCTGAAGAAGAAGAACTGAGCCATGACTTGTCTGAAACCGAGGCTGGCGGTAGCGGGCGCACACGACTGAACAACGGTGCGACTGCAATGGCGCAGGACAACGCCGGCACCAGCGATGAGGAAGAGGACGACAATGGCATGCTGCCCCGCGACAAGCAACGACGAACTGCCTTCTATGACTATACTGCAGAGAAACAGATGAGCCACACTGAAGCCAAGCAATTCTACCAACGGCATCAGCTAGAGACGCAGTATGGAGGCTCACAAGCAGGAGAGGCATACAGCCCTGCTATGCGCGCAAAGACATTTCCCACCAATTTTGGCACCACAGACAATGTAGACTTCCAAGGCAAGGCAGAGAGCATTCGCTCTAGGAAGAGCAACGTCACGCTTGCGAATCAAGGGCATCGGTCCAACCTACCTATCGGCTTGTCACACACAGAGCAGTCACAGGATCCACGTCGACACATGACTCAACATGGAGCCAACACTGCAGGTACTGGCAATGACGGCGACGCCTTTCTTCAAGCTGATCAACAAGCCCGATCCCATGCGCAACACCCCGGTCTCCCACACGAAGACAAACCGCTTTTGGCTGAGGAAGGTATCCACGGTGCGGGCGCAGGTATAGGTGTTGGCACAGGAGCAGGAGGCTTCGCCATGAATGATTCCAGTATCACCACTGAGCTTAGCTCAATCTATACGAATATCCAGAAAGTGCTAGATCTTCGTCACAAGTACATTCGCTTGTCTCTACAGCGCAACTTCGATAACCCCAAAGATGACCCCGCTTGGCGCATCTACCCCACTCCTCCTGAACCAGTATGGAACGACTCGTCTAAAGAGCGTCGCAATGCGGGCAGCAGCTTGCAGAACAGCGGGATTCTAGAGCCCAATGAAGCCCCAAAGCCCCCTCGCAAAATGGGAACCAATATTGGTGAAGACTTTCATCTGGAAGACTGCCTTCCAGTGCCAGGCCCTGGAGAGATGTCGTTCCGCCTGGACGAGAGCGGTGTCTATCAGGTGTATGAGACAGCCAAATCTGCTGAGCTCGACACGCCTATCGTAGCAATTCCTACATTGCGCGAATTTTACATCGATCTCGACGCCATTCTTGATATATCCTCCGATGGACCGAGTAAAAGCTTTGCTTTCCGTCGTCTCCAATATCTTGAGGGCAAATTCAACCTTTACTACCTGTTGAATGAATATCAGGAAACGGCCGACACTAAAAAAGTGCCGCACAGGGACTTCTACAACGTCCGAAAGGTAGATACACACGTTCACCACTCAGCATGCATGAATCAAAAGCACTTGTTGCGCTTCATCAAGTCTAAGATGAAGAAGTCTCCGGATGAAGTGGTACTGTTCCGTGATGGCAAACATCTTACGTTAAGGGAAGTGTTTGAGTCAATCAATTTGACCGCGTATGATCTGAGTATCGATACTCTAGATATGCATGTAAGTACAGACATTCCACGTTGCGACAATCTGCTGACTCTGTAGGCTCACACGGATTCGTTTCATCGTTTCGACAAGTTCAACTTGAAGTATAACCCGATTGGTGAATCACGTCTCCGAACCATTTTCTTGAAGACAGACAACTTTGTCAAGGGTCGATACCTGGCTGAAATCACCAAAGAAGTCATATCGGATCTCGAAGCGAGCAAGTACCAATTTGTCGAATGGCGCATTTCCATCTACGGTAGAGATATCGAAGAGTGGGATAAGCTTGCGGCTTGGGTCATTGACAATAAGCTGTTCTCGCCCAATGTACGATGGCTGATCCAAGTACCCCGTTTGTTCGATGTGTACAAGGCTACTGGCCTCATGGACAACTTCCAGCAAGTTATCGTAAATGTGTTCCAGCCTTTGTTCGAGGTCACCAAAGATCCGTCAAGTCACCCTAAGCTTCACGTTTTCCTGCAAAGGGTCATTGGGTTCGATAGCGTCGACGATGAGAGCAAAGTTGAGCGACGTGTGTACAGAAAGTTTCCGTTCCCAAACGAGTGGTCTACAAAGCAGAACCCGCCATACAGCTACTGGATGTACTACCTCTTCGCTAACATGTCGTCGCTCAACGTCTGGAGGAAGCAGCGCGGCTTCAACACTTTCCTTTTGCGCCCACACTGTGGAGAGGCTGGCGACACGGATCATTTGGCTGCCGCTGTACTATGCTGTCACAGCATCAGCCACGGCCTCTTGCTCCGTAAAGTGCCGCTTCTCCAGTACATTTTCTATCTTGAGCAAATTGGTGTCGCCATGTCGCCTCTTAGCAATAACGCGCTGTTCTTGGCATACGAACGCAATCCGTTCTTGAGCTACTTTCGCCGGGGTCTCAACGTCTCGCTATCGACAGACGATCCTCTGCAGTTCGCTTTTACTAAAGAGCCCCTCATTGAGGAATACTCGGTCGCGGCGCAAATCTACAAACTGAGTGCTGTGGATATGTGTGAGCTAGCCAAACATTCTGTGGAACAGAGCGGCTTTGAGCATGTTGTTAAGCAAAAGTGGTTGGGTAAGAACTACCATCTTCCTGGCGTCGCTGGCAATGACATGGCGAGATCCAATGTCCCTAGCATTCGCGAGGCATTCCGGCACGAAACACTTATGGGTGAACTAGCCATGTAAGTTTGTCAAGTAGAGGATGTAGTTGGATGGGTTTGCATACTGACAGCGGATAGGATCGATCGCTATACACGCGCCGCACAATCTGGCAGCCACGATCTCACGAGTTCTAACCTACAATCCGAAGTACCTCAAACACCAAAGTCGCTCCAAGGAACGCACCCCACCTCTCCCACGCATGCTTCTGCAGGCGGCAACCATATGTTTTCCAAACTACCTCCTGCTCAAGTTGCCCGCCTTAAGCCTTCGACCTCGACAACCGACATGAGTAGTTTGCATGGCCAACCAGCCTCGCCTTCGGGCACTAAAGATGGTGGCAGCTCCAGCATAACTGTCAACCCCAGCACTCTCTCAGTCGCTCAGCCGACAGAAGCATACGAGGAGCCTGACCAGGGTCTGACGCGCTCAACGAGCACTGTCACGCTAGACGGAGAACCTAGATTGTTCCCTGGTATCGTCAGCAGTAGGAGTAGGAGACGGAGCACCAGGAATAGTCAGGCTGAAGACGGAGATATGACAAGTTCGCGCTCGAGGCTCCGAGCGGGAGATGCGGAGAGCGTCATGGAGGAGAGGGACACTGATGATGAGGATTAGAAACGTTTCTGGTTTGCTGGGCGCTGTGTATGTTTAATGATAGAATGAGGACTACGAATTGTACATGGTCTTATTAATGACCCGGAAATCTAGTCTGTATTATGATGCTCATGATCGTTGCTATATACACAGGGCGAAAGTAGAATGGCTGACATGCTCGTTAGAGCGAAGCCCGAGGACCGTCGATAAGAAAAACAATTATGACGCTCCATAGTCTCACAAGATACAGCTGGGAGTAACACATGAACGCCCGCTTTGCTCCAGCAAACAATCCAAAAAACCCCCCCGAATCACTAAAAATCAACCTCCTCTTGTGACACTCACGAGTTGATATTACGCGAGTAACAGTCCAAACACCAAGCATCCCCCTCTTCCCCAACCTCTACTATGCACTTCTTACAGATGGCCTTGCTGCACCCTACACATTGCCTCGCACAGATAAAGCACGTCCGCCCTTCGCACCTCCTGCAGTCGAGGTAATTCTCCAAGTCCTTTCGTCGCTTAGGCGCTTTGTTGCAGGCGTGACAGGATCGCAAGTCGGAAATGGCATGTGATTGGCTTTGGCATGTCGGCGGAAGATCAAAGTCAACGTCCATCAGATGTGATGTCGACTTGACGAGAGGCGCTTTTGGACTGAGGCGTTTCAACTGCTTAACTGGCCGTCGTTCTGATGTGTATTCGTGTTGTTTTGATGGGAAGAGGGAGCAGGGTAGGTTGCTGTTGCTGTCGAAAGGCGGGGTACTGTGGAGATGTAGGCGGTTGGAGTCGCGACTGGGTGACGGCCGATGTTGGCGTGTTATGTTTCTGAAAATGCTGTTAGTTTTGGAGTTTGATTTTGACAAAGCATGAATACTCACTGTTGTGGTCCATCATCGGCGGCCATCCTCTTTCTCTTGCCCAAGCCGGCGGCATGTTGTTGGTGAGCCATGGCATGCCAGTAATTTGGCGAGTCGTCGTCGTATTTTCGCTCGTGTGGTGTGTTAGGACCGAAAAGGTCAGAGGTGATGTAGACCATGGCGGCGGGTTGCGGTGAGAGTCACGGCGGAGCGGAGAAGCTGTTGTCGGGCTCGACGGCGGCGGCGGCGATGGCGTCAATACAGGAAAGGAAACACCAGGCAAAAACAAGACGGGGGCTCTCGAAGACGGCGGGGCCAAGGTGAGCAGACAAGAAGGGAGCGGACAGAGCGATGGACGGCGAGGAGGGTCACCAGGACGGACTGGAGGGCGATGGGATGTTGTCGGCGGCCTTGATTGATGCTCGGCCATGTACCTGACTAGCGCAAGCCACCTGAGCAGGCAGCCAACAGCCAGCGAGTGGGCCCCCACAACACGCTTCACGTGTCGCCAAGCAAAAGGTCGCGACTCACTAACGCGCGACGGCGCAGGGACAGGGTGAAGCATCGACGACGGCGTAGACAGATACCACCCCAACCCTTAGATTGTGTCATGCTTGCCACTCGTGCGTGATCTGGGATGAATACATCATCTCCACAATACACTTACCCCACATTCTCGCATCCTACCCTGCGAGCCGTGAGCCATGGATAGCGTCAATGTCTCCGACTTGGTCGCGCGACTCGGCGCGGAGGAGGAGTCGGTGCGCAAGATGGCTGTCTTCAAGCTGCAGAGTGCCATTGGCGACCCCTCGTTTGCCGACGTCTTCATATACGAAGGCGGTCTGCCCAAACTCAGATTCCTGGCCCTGCATTCCACAGGCAATACACTGGCATACTGCCTCACCTCTCTAGCACGCCTGCTGGAGCTGGACAAGGGATGGGACCATGTTACGGATGATTTGGTCGCGAGAGTGAGTAGACCAGAGAGGAACCATCAACAATACCTGACAGTTGTGCAACAGATAGTCGACCTTGTAGTCGCCCAACCTCTCGTCAACGTCAATCGTGGTGCCATGTCAGTCCTCGCAGCTATCGTTGGCCATCCCTCTCATCGCAACTCTCAGGAAGGAACCACTGGCTTCCAGCGCCTGAAGCCTGCCGTCGATACTCAGCCCGAGTTTCTACCTTCTCTCGTCGAAAAGATTACCTCAGCCGACCACGCGCTATGTGCCAACTCGCTGCAGCTTATCAACGCCCTCATGCGAGATGCCATCGCGAACGACGCGGCTTTTGAGTGGCCCAAGTTCATAAAGCAGCTGCAGGAGCTGGGTGTCATCAAGAGCGTATATGGACTCATGCAGAGCTCCGCGATACACGATCTGACCCATCCATTGCTCGACTTCCAGTCGTTGACCAAGATACTGTTGCGAAACTGGAGGGAAGAAAAGGTCGATTTGGAGAATCCTGATCACAGAAGGGCTATCCGGGGGCTACATACAGCGAGCAAGCCAGAGAAGCCAGATTCGGACTCCAAGGGAAGCAAGAAACAAAATCCAGACAAATGGAAACGTCTGGGCTTCAAGACTGAATCGCCTGCGTGGGAGTTTGATGAGACTGGCTTCCTAGGCCTCATGGATATTACCGACTTCGTCTACAAGAACGAAGACGGATTCCAGAAGCTCTTACTGGAGCAGTCGGCAGAACCACCCGAGCAGAGGTGTCCAATTGCGCGTGCAAGTTTGTCTGTCACTCAGACTCTGTACGAGCATTTCGAAGTAGACAAGCCTGATGACTTTGACTCTCTTAGACATACGGACTCGCGAGCCAACTTTGACCGCGCGTTCAAACCCCTCTTGCTCCACTGGTCTAGATTGCACACGAGTGGGTTAAATGCTTTCATCAGACTGTGGAAAGCCGCTGGCGCACAGACGGACGACTTTGAGAAGATTGAAGAGCTTATCCGCATCTTGATCGAGCAGGTAGTGGGTCAGGCGCCACGCACCAAGGACGTCAAAGACGTGGAGGAGGATCTGGCTGAATTCGAACTCAAGCGCCTGAGAGAGCTCCAGATGGAAGTACTGGAGCTGACGTATGAGGATGCGTGGGGCCATCATCTGCGGTATGCTACATGTTTTCACATGATTCGCACCCAGCTAACAACAGTCCACAGTCAAGTCCGTGACGAACTCAACCATGAGGCTCTACAGTTCGTAAAGGAGCAGCGTATAAGATGTCTGCTACAGGGGGCGTGGTTCCCTATGGGTATGGATTACGGCACAAGTGCAGGTCCAGTAACCGGCAAGACCCTGAATCGTTCTGTGCCCTCAGCATGGCGCTTTGTCCGATTGTCACATAACCGGCGATATCTGCACTATGCTGATTTTGACGAAAAGACGGCGACTGAGCCGAGATTAGACACACTGCAGGAGAAGAGTAAGTGTAACGCATCCACGCGTCCCCTATGGTTTGCGCTACTGCCATGGCTGACACATGTATAGTTGATCTATCAATCGTCTCTTCGGTCGTGAGCAATGTCTCGGCTTCGGCTCCGTCGACCTCATCATCTGACAGTACAGTCAGAACCCTGCCAGGCCACGAGCGAGCTTCTACGTCGACCAAGATCACGATCCACGGCTACCTGCCGCCGTCCAATCACTCGCGGCAGGCTTCCAGCGGCTCAGGCGCAGGGCGGAAAGAATCTGTCCTGCTGCATCTGCATCCTCAGAGCCACACCCTTGCTTCCGAGTGGCTTGATGGATTGCTGATGCTGTTAAACCAACAGCCCATAACCGCCGATACCAATAAGTTGGCGACCTTCATAGGCGGCTACGGGTTGAAGATCCGTCTGCTCAACGTTCGATACGAAGACGTTGGGCTGGAGGAGCCAGTACTCCCCAGCCGTGAGGGACTGGATGACGAATACTACTGTACGTGCGCTTTTAACAAAACGTGGCACGGACTCAATACTGACTTGCACGCCAACGCAGACGACATTGCGGGTGCCTGAAGATCTAGAAGATGCTTGTTTGTGAACAGGACTCTTTGACAACAAACATCGATCTCCTGCAGGACTTGGTGAAATTAATGGATCCGCCAATATCCAAGCGACAGGTTGTTGGGAAGCCTAAGTAGACGCTTCCGAAAGCCTAAACTTTCTCGATGCGGGACTAGACGATGGCGGGGTCTACCACGATCGCCATGTCTCCGGAAGACGTCTGTCAGCCTTTAAACTGGCAATCAGGTACCGCACCGATATCTGGGGAATTATATTAGAGACATCGCAGGGGCAGTGACGTTTGTGTTGGAGCTGGAGCTGGAGCTGGATGCGCTTCTCTTGAGATACCCTTGCTTGTGCTTGTGCAATAAATTGCAGTTAGACCAGATTGTATGGAGCGTGCATGCGTGTTGCTCAGCTTGTCGACGTTACACGGCGCATGCTCGATGTTGTGCAAGGCGTCTGGTTGTCCACGGTGATCTGTGCGATATTAACCCCGTGACACGTTGGCTGAGGTGTTGATCCGGCGACTTGGTCGGCACGCGATAGGGCAATGGGGCAATAACGCAATAATGCAATATTCCAGAAGCAAGCATGTTGATGACGAGGCTAAACAAGGTACAGTTGAGAGAGCATGTATCGACACCACCAGCCGGGTCGCTCTGGCAGCGGTGTGTCGCACGCTAACTATCGTGGCCCCGCTGACGGTGTGTACCTGGCGGCCGCGGGCCTGAAACAGCGGATGGGCAAGGTGGAGAGAAGCGGGGAGGAGGCATGCCTGTCCAACCTGACTCAACCAACGAACGCACACACCCAGGCCTGCTCTCGGATACTTCAGCCACGGCTCTACTACAGGGCCTAGGTGTGAGGTGGAGAGCAGGAGTGCGTTTTTGGCGGCGCGTTAGCCTGCAGCTGTAGCATCCCGCGACACGAATATGCAGCCGCCCCAAGTGCGAGCGACAGTCGTACGGTGCTAAGCCCACAGATTGTTTCTGTCTCCCCAGCAGGCGTTCTGTTGGCCTTCATATAATTCCTTCTTCTTCGGACTTTCGCTTGCTGCTGTTCGGATCGCTCTCCGGTCGATCATCGAGAAGAAAGTATAGCATTGCTCAACCAGCCTTCACGAGACGTGCCCGACGCACAGCTTGGCCACAGCGTCAGGGCCGCCTTTCGCAGTATCGATCGAGCAGACAACCGCACATGTGCCTGAATCCAACGTTACGCCTTCGCCGACGTCGAGTTCCGAGCCGAAGCCATGAAGAGCAAGGTCAAAGGCACTATTCTGCCTTTACAACAGGCGGAATTCGACGCCCTGCCGTATTCAGTCCAGTAAGTAAATTCCAAGCCTCTGATTTGTTGAGGCGTGTGATAAGGGCGCGTTATGCACGCGCATATACCGAATCCCCCACCATGACTTTTGTGTACCTTGCAGTAGATGAAGGGTTTGTCAATTATGCCATGATGCCAATGCTAATCCGTGCCGCTACAGGAGAAAGTACTTTTCATCCCTGGAGCGTTTGCAGATCCGACAACAGGCCTCCGACGAGCCTACATCAGGCCGCTCATCCCAAGCCAGCACCTCATCCAAATCCCACCGGCCTTCTCTATCACTCGGCACCGGACGACGCAGACGTAAATCCGAAAAGGCCGTGCAATCTCACGACATCTCCCAAGTCGAGCTGGACTTTTTCCTTTCTTTGCCTGAAAAGGTACGCAAGCAACATTTTTCCCGCGAAGAGCAGGCACTCCTCCAACAAAGGCACCAACAGGCCTTGCTTCCCGACGACCAAGACATCGAGTGGGCACAACAACGCTTCAACGACTTTCATTTCGACTTTCCCAGCCCTCCGGTCGACCTTCCTGAACGTGGACGCTCACGACGACGTTCTTCATCGGCCTCTTCGACTGTCAGCCCTTCCCGCCCTTCTTTCGGGCCGTCTGCTACACTTGACACGAGCAAGGACCGAAACAGGCATTTACTATATCTCGACACCATGGCCACGCCGATGTTTACGCGAAGAGAGATGCCGATAGATAACATGAGACGAACAATGTCACTTACCTCCCACCCCGTCCGCCACGGATCCTCATACATGTCGGACCCTCCCTTCTTCAATGCTAGGCCAAGAGGTCTTCACCAACGTGCGCACTCCTCTTCGCTCGCAAGTCACACGTTACCATCCATGCCTTCACCCCTTGTTGTCGATACCGAAGCGACCCATTACCAAGATCCAGAGGCGAGAAAGAAGTTGCGCATGTACCTTGCATCACCCCAAAAGTTTGATGAAGCGATTGAGTTCGGTTTCCCATCTTCGGCAGGAAATGACTCTGCTACACCGCACTTTCAGCTACCCCAGATCGACAACCATGCCCGTAAGTTCAGTCGAGACATGCAGACCTTCCTCAGAGACGGGCAGTTGTCCTTTTTCGAAGACAATGAAAACCAAGGACTGGAGTCTGACGCTGGCTCAGTAGCCGACATGGACTCACCCGCTACGCCTTCTAGCACCGGATTGTCATTCCGTATGCATTCTCGCCAGATCTCGCATCGCAAATTCTCAGTTGAATCGCCCGCTCCTTCGCCTGTTCACTCCGCCAACGGGCAGTTCAACCGAGAGATGACACTCCGTATGACTTTGACCCGGCCCGATTTACGAGCTGACGAAGATCAACTGTATGGTTGGCAAAGCTCGAGCCCGAAAGCTCCGAAAGACGACCCATTGGCACTCGAAGATCTGGTCTTTACCGACGATATGACAGGTACCAAAGGCGCATTCTACGTCAAGCCCAAACCACGCGGAAACCTCGTCAGCCGTCTATTGAAGCGTGCCAGCCTCAAAGCAACAAGTCGCTGACCTACACTTTGACTTACATTTATTGGCCTATTTCTCACATAAACTTTTCCTTGTCTTCCCTAATAAAGACCGAGAGGTCTGCTGCATTTCAGCGAGCGGTCTTCTTTCTTTGTTTAAACTTTTTAGACACTTCACGGGCTTCCAACTGTACGATTATCACGATGCACGAACCGAACGATTCGAACGATTCAGATGCATGAACGAGGCGTTTTCCTTTCATCTCCCACTGCCAGCTTCCCTGCTGGCTTCTACTTAGCTAGCCAAAACCATTACCAAGAATGATACCCATCCGGCAGTAACCAATATCGGTCTGTCGCTTTCACAAAGTCATATTTTCGCTGTCCATGACAACATCAGATCTCCTGTTTGGTTTCTTTCCCATCCACATTCGGCAATTGGAGATTTACCATCTCAAATAGTTTGAGTTTATCGTTTCCACTATCAGACTTTTTCAGAAGGATTGATCGCCAGCAACGATCATGACTAAGTTTTCGCGCCCGGAACTTTACCTATCCGTCTGCAATACCCTCATCTTATCTCTCCACATGTTTCGCCAAAGTTCGACTACCCATATTATCCGTGGTGGAGAGATCTATATCGCATAGATCCTAAGAACATGGGTTGTGTGTGACATTGCTCTTTTCATCCTATAGCGAGGAAAGGATCAACATTACAGTACATGTGCCATTTGCATGCAGCATTCCTTATTTGATGCATTGTATGCGTTCTACTGTGCTAGGAGCAGAGTGTTCCAGTGGCGATGCATTCGGGTTGTAATAACATGATCAGGACTGCCGGTATAACTACGTTTCCCGGACAAGCCACTTTCCTTGGGTCTTTCTCACAAGTCAGTTTCTCAAACACTTTCACAGAAAACTATTTCACCACTGCCTCAAGTCTACATATTCGCCCATCGCCGTCATGATAGGCAAACTAAACAATGACGTCGCGCAGCACAGCAGAGATCATCCGATACCCATCGCTCTCTGAAACACTCGTCAACTTTTATTCTCACCTCAACTCCACCTTTCCTTTCCGGTCAAGCTCCACTTCGACGTCAGGCTGAACTTTTGGGTTCTCGGGTTCCCTTGTCGGTACACGCGAGTGGAACTAGTGAACTAGATGCCGAACAGAACTGCTTCGATCGTATGGTACGCTAAGTTTCAGCTTCCGTCCAGATTTTCGTCCCCAGCAGAACTCTGGTACTCGATCTTGCGTTCGCAGCGCGTATCGCGCGCGGCTTGGTTGCGGCTACAATAGCCTTAGTCATGGTTTGTCGGCTATAGGATGGATGAGGTTTTCCTGACGCCTGGACGCCTGGCTGCCTGGAGATCACTGTTGGTACAAAGTCAAAAGTATAGGATATGGTACTATACGTGGTAGTGCTGTAGATTCAAGGTGATCGACGACAAAAGGAAGGAAAAGGATAAAAAGCTACGACACATGCATATCAATGTTTGCCATGCGAAAATGTTCATGGGAAAGCCGTTAAACAGAGTACGGTGGCTGAAAACAAAGTTTCTTGTGATCAACTGCTTTTTCGCGCCCTTGCTCATGTTAAGTTAATGTGGCAGCACTGTGGCAGGTGCTAGGCTGGGAAGCTGAATAGCTAAGTTGGAGAGGGCTGTTGTACTAGTCATTGGATGTATATGTGGCTTTCGTTGATCCATGTCATGGGTGTAGTGATATCCTTAGCTCATTACCTTGGAGTCTTTGTGTTTAAACATTTAGACTAGCATACTGGTGGTACGATCCGCTAACAGCATGGCCACATGTCAATATTGTGCCAGAATTGAAACGGTTATCATGATGTGGTATTCTGTAGCATCGGATGCACGACAAAGTCGTTAAGCTAGGGTGATTGCATTATCTTGGTCAAGTGCCACACGCATACACTGCGTACGTGTACGGCACAATACAGCCGAGAACACTGCGTATGCTGGGGATCAACCGGGAAGGACTATGCGAGTACGAGACCAGCAATGGGGACAACTATTCGGTACGCGCGCAATTGTCCACGCCCGCGGTTTTCGTTTTTCATGCGAGTCAAGCTAGAAACGTTACTCATCCTAAGCATGCCCACGTTAAGATGAGTCGTCCGGATGCGGTATGTGGAAAAGTAAACACGATTCATGGGTTTTCTCTTTTTGTCAATGTGCAGAAGACAACGTGTCCCGCTACTGCAGTTCCATGCTTCCCACGTGCAGACTTTGATTGCAACATTCATGCGCTAAATGCAATGTGAGTGTTTGCTTTCACATGCATAGTCGGGGCATTTCCCAGAAAGGTATTTGACATGAACAGCTTCGAACTTTTCATTACTGGTGGTATACTGCTTCTTTCGCTGCTATGTTGGGCGTTGTGTTGTTCTTTACCTTGACAGGGCGATGTCGTCGATTCGCAGAATCATCTTGACTGTCTCGGCTGCCAGCTCGATAGCGCTGGTGCTGACTAGCAGTGGCTGCAGTACATTCTCCTCGCTGATGTCGTTCTTGACACCCCCACTCTTAATGCTGATACCTGCATTCTTCTGTTCTTGTGCGTGTCTATGCCTTAGCTCCGTGACAACCTTGATGCTGTTAAGACCGGCGTTCTCAGCCAGCGTTGTTGGGATGACCTCCATGGCGTCGGCGAAAGCTTTCCAGCAGATAGACTCAGTACCAGAAAGCTCGCGAGCCTTGAGGGACAGCTGATGCGCAATCTCAATTTCAGGGGCACCGCCACCCGCAAGTAGAGCCTTCTTCTTAACTAACGAACGAATGGCGCAGTGAGCGTCGTGTAGAGATCGCTCAGTCTCATCCAGGATGAGGTTGTTGGCGCCTCGGCAAACGATAGAGACGGTGTTGGCCGCTGACTTGACACCCGAAACCTTGACATATCGCGCACCTGATGCCTGTACTTCCTCGACAAGGTCTGCTGAACCGAGCTTATCTTCTGTGAAAGAGTCAATGTCGGCGATAGGCTTGCAGCCAGTGCTCTGTTTTGTGTTAGATTTGTTACACACAAAAATCTCATCATACATACCTTGCAGATGAACTCAATCTCGTCACGCTCGATATCCTTGATAACCATGATCTTGAGCTTCGATAGGAAGTGCAGACTGAGGTCGTTGACCGCATCTCGAAGAATGGATTTTTGGATGAAGAGGACATTGCACTTGGCTTTCTGGATCTTCTTGACCATGTTTAGCAAATATGTTCGCTCCTCCTTGAGGATCTTGTCCATTTGCCTGTAGTCGTTGACGACAATCTGGTTCTCCATGTCTGGCTTCGGTGGACTCAACTGGAATTGGATAAGACCTATCCGTGCCTTCTCCTTCAGTGTGGGGCCACCAGCGCTCTTGACTACTGGCTGGTTGAGTACCAGACCATCGATCATCTCGCTGTCCTCAATGGTACCACCCGACTTCTTGATCATCCGAATGTTCTTCAAATCTACGTTGTCTGCAGTCTTGGGATCGATGACTTTAAGCACCGAATCTACAGCCATGATAGGTAGCTTGGGCTCCTGAGCAACGATCTTGGAGGAGAGGGCGGTTGTGGCGGTCTTGAGGAGAGTCTGCCTGTCTGTGAGCGAGATGGGAATGGCCATGTCGGTCAATATCGATATCGCCTCTTGGGCAGCGCGCTGGAATGCCTCTGATATGACTGTAGGGTGGATGCCCTTGCCCAATAACCGTTCAGCGGCGCCCAACAGGCTTCCAGCAATGACGACAACCGACGTTGTACCATCTCCAGCTTCGATGTCTTGTGCGTGTGCGAGGTCGACGAGCATCTTCGCGGAGGGGTGCATAACGCTCATCTGGTTCAACATGGTGGCTCCGTCGTTTGTGATGATGGTCTGTCCTCTGGCGGTTTGGATCTGGACGAGTCAGCTATGGTAGGCGGAGAATTGCGCCTTCTCTTACCATCTTGTCCATGCCCTTTGGTCCCAACGACTACCGAAGCATTAGCATTTGGTTCTTCCCCGCACCTCATGGTGGGACATACAGTTCGGATCGCATCTGCCACAGCTGTACAATAGACGTTAGCGAAACTCTTCCGAACAAGCATAGTCGAGCTGCATACCTCTTGCGGCAATGATGTTGGCGCTGCGAACAGCTCTGGGCTTCTCCTTGTCCTGGCTCCTTGTCAGTCAATGTTTTCATAGCTCAGCATCGCAGCGCACCTTGAAGGCAGTGTTACCGCCACCGGTACCGCCGTTTGCAACTTGAGCAGCCATATTTCGGTATACAGTAAGAACAAAGCTAAAAGAGGGGTATCGTGAAGGTTTGGCGGGGAAGTTGTGGTGCCTGGACGCGAACTGACAATATTTCGAGAACGCGATAGACGTAGCGCACGGCCAATCCACAAGCTCCGACTCGCCGGGCCATTGCCGCATCACAGCTACACCTTCACCCATTACACAACAACCAACCCCATACACTCTCCCGAACCACCGCATCTGCTCCGCCTGTCGCTTCCACCTGGATTCATTCGCACCTCCACCACACGCATAGTCCCAACACCATCCTGGTCGCCTGACAGTCGCCGCCTACACCGTCACCATGCCTTCAGCCACAGGCCAGTCCTGGGAGAAGTACCAGAAGAACTTCGCTGACGACGAGGTTGAGGAGAAGAAGATCACACCCCTGACTGACGAGTAAGAGGCGACAAGACAGCAACGTAAACATGGGCTAATGACGTGATAGGGACATCCAGGTGTTGAAGACATACGGAGCGGCACCCTATGGCGCTGAACTCAAGAAGCTGGAGAAGGAGATCAAAGACAAGCAACAGACGATAAACGAGAAGATTGGCGTCAAAGTATGTGTCCCTCCCAACCCTCCGGCCATGCTCTGCTGACTCGCCCAGGAATCAGATACCGGTCTCGCACCTCCACATCTCTGGGATATCGCCGCCGACCGCCAACGGATGCAAGAAGAGCAACCACTTCAGGTCGCACGATGCACCAAGATAATACAGGACGAGAAGGATTCAGAGAAGAGCAAATATGTCATCAACGTCAAGCAGATCGCCAAGTTCGTCGTCAACCTCGGAGAACGCGTCTCACCCACCGATATCGAGGAGGGCATGCGGGTAGGTGTCGACCGGAACAAATACCAGATCCTGCTTCCCCTACCGCCAAAGATCGACCCTTCGGTTACTATGATGACGGTCGAGGACAAGCCTGATGTCACTTATGGAGATGTCGGAGGTTGCAAAGAGCAGATTGAGAAGCTACGAGAAGTCGTCGAGATGCCGCTGCTGTCACCAGAGCGCTTCGTCAACCTTGGTATCGACCCGCCCAAGGGTGCTCTTCTCTACGGTCCCCCGGGAACCGGAAAGACGCTTTGCGCCCGAGCTGTTGCCAACCGAACCGACGCCACCTTTATCCGAGTCATCGGATCCGAGCTTGTTCAGAAATATGTTGGAGAGGGAGCGAGGATGGTGCGCGAGCTGTTTGAGATGGCGCGAACAAAGAAGGCGTGTATCATCTTCTTCGATGAAATCGATGCTGTTGGTGGCGCTCGTTTCGACGACGGTGCTGGAGGCGACAACGAAGTACAGCGTACTATGTTGGAACTCATTACACAACTTGATGGTTTCGACGCTCGCGGCAACATCAAGGTCATGTTCGCGACCAACAGACCTTCAACCCTCGACCCTGCCCTCATGCGTCCGGGACGTATTGACCGAAAGATCGAGTTCTCGCTACCCGACATGGAAGGTCGTGCCAACATTCTCCGTATCCACGCCAAGAGCATGAGTGTAGAGCGCGACATCCGTTGGGAGCTCATCTCTCGTCTCTGTCCCAACAGCACAGGTGCCGAGTTGAGGAGTGTAGCTACAGAGGCTGGTATGTTCGCCATCCGCAGTCGCAGAAAGGTTGCCACCGAGAAGGACTTTCTCGCCGCTGTGGACAAGGTGATCAAAGCCAACATGAAGTTCAACAGCACTGCAGTGTACGCTCAGTACAATTAAGAGGTGGCCTACATGCAATACAACTAGACGGCGCCATTTGCGGTCTGTCGAGAGTTGTTTATGTATATGCATTAGAAGGTATTACTGGCTTTGTATGAGTAGTCATGATGGTACTTTTCCTCCGCCATGAGGATAGACATAATGCATTTTTCGAATCACTTTCATCTGTTCCATGCACCATGAACAGAACCACCGTATACAATAGAAAACTTGAACGGGTATAGAAACAACATGCCCTAGTTTGCCGCCTGCGTTAGCTTCTCAGAAGAAACTCTAGAAGGTCTAATAGCATTGTAGACTTCTAGATTCTCTATCTATGTCTAGAAGCTCTTAATACGCTTTATTGTAGCAGGTATAAGTACTTTGCTCTGTATACAGCTGCATATAGTAAAGCCAGATGAGTGTTTGGGAACACACTTCTACTGCGATACAATACAGTGTAAGTCGACAGCGTTGTGCCTCCGTCTTATCACCAGCACGTCCATAATATCAATAGTGTTTTGTTCCGAAGAGATATTCAGTTTCCCTCTTTAATGTAGTGGAACCCATTTCAAGGTTGAGACCAAATGAGCGCAAGGGGCACAAGGTGGTATATTAAGAAATCCGAGTAAGAGAAGTTCGAAGAAGCACACAGTTACCGTACCAAGTCGCGCATTGCTACACCACGACCGTTCCGCCGATGTCACAGAGGTCCACATCGACTCCCCACCTTAAACCGTCCGCCTCTGCACCCTTCCGCCAGCGTTCAGGCGGCTCAGTAACCGGTTCGTAGTTCGCCGAGTATGCACCACGGAACGTACCAAAGTGCATGCCTATACTCTTCTTACTTTTGACATCCCTATGTATAGCCAAAGAGTCCTGCGGACTAGAGTGTTGACCAGACAAGATAGACCTTGGCTTAAAGCAACCAACAGGCACAAGCGCCAGATCGAAGGGACCGTATAAATTGCCAATTTCTTTAAAAGCCGGACAAGGTGGATGTGGCGCGTTGTGGTGCGAGTATTGGTCGTCAGACAGAACATGACAATACCCCGTGTCTCCGGCGAAAAAGACCTTCTTGCCGGACGAAGAAGGCTCTTTGATGATCCAGCTACACCACAGTGTACCGTCGAAGTTCCAGGGCGTACGCCCAGATCGATGTTGGGCGGGTGTACATATCAGTTCTGCGCCTCCTACACCCTTTTTGAATATTGTTATGCCGTCCCACCAGTCCATCTCCTCGACTTGGTCGGCCTTGATGCCTACGCCGAGCCCTGTTAGGACGGTCTTGACGCCCAAAGCGCAGAAGAAGCGCAAGTCTCCATTCTGCTTCGCATTCAACTTCTTCAGCGTGTCAGAATCGAGGTGGTCGTAGTGGTCGTGGCTTATGCAAACAGCATCGATTTCAGGTAATTCATCGATGGTGCATGGTGGAGGTGTAAAGCGCACGGGGCCGACCATGCCATATGGTCCTACGCGGTCACTCCATACAGGATCGAGAAGGATGCGCATGCCCCTTTGGTTCCCCTCTGAAGCCGTTGTCTCAATCAGGAAACTCGCATGTCCTATCCATGTCGCCTTCAAGCCGTTGGTCGTATTGTTGAAGTCGGGCTTGCGCACTTGAACCAGGCCTAGGCGATCGGCGGGCACTGGGACGAAGTTCTTTGGGGTGCTGAAGCGCGCGCGGAGAGCGGTGATTATGCCGTCGTTCTTGTACGAGGGCCATGGGTTCTTGAAGCTTGTGGGTGGCTTGCCGATGTGATGGCCTGTGGTGTAGGCATCTGGCCTATGTGGCGGTAACGCAGTTATGGAGGACGAGGGAGGCATTCTCGCTGTCCTGTAGTGCCTAAAAAATGGCGCGGGGTTAGGAAGGGCTTGAGGTAGGCGCGCATGGTTGTGTGTCGTGTCGCTGATGCAATGACGACCAAGGGCTGATGTGGAGGCGGAGATAGCGAACGCCCACCGGAGCGCGAGTTGGCCCGTTATGCCGTTGGAGGCGCTGCTGGGGTTTCGAGCATGTAGGGCAGCGCTGAGAAGCCTCCAGGTCGTCTACCGACGCTTTCACTGTCCTTTGAGCAATGTCGATGCAGCCGTCGCCTTGGATGCGCCTTTGGTTGTGGGGCGTCAACGAGCAGGTCCAACCAAGCCAGCCCCTGTTACCCACGTTCTGTCCCAGCCATCCTTCGATATGCAATTCCCAACTCTTGCTGCATCGGCCAACAGAAGCCGTCATTGTGGCTGACTCTACCCACCAATCTCATATCTCAACGCGCACCTCCACCATCATGCATGGCCTCGGAGACTGCTCAAGTGGGTACAAGCACCACGGCGCGGCATGCGTAGCCTTGTTCTCTTATCTACCAATGGGACCGACACGTGAGCGCGTCTAGCTTACATGCAGGTACTGTGAATCTTTCGCTCATCGCCGCCGTCGGAGCTCTAACCAGAAGCCTGGGAAATGTACCTTCTGCATATGGTAAGGACCGACTGGGGCTGCAGCGGCCTGGGTAGGCCGTGGCCAAATTTTTGGGGACCTTTATAGATGGCCGGCTTCCCAGCATCATCGAGTTTCCCATCGCAGTATACCTCTTCTCCAATTTGTCTTGTAGCTCCAAAGTCAAGATAACATGAAGGCTGCTTTTTCCAAGGCCGGAGCTGCGGCTCTGCTTGCGACTACGACAAATGCACAGCTCTATCCCAACCAAAGTCCCCTGAACCACACATGCCAGCTACAAGAGCCATTGCTGTCTTGCCCTTCGCAAGACCCGTCCATTGTCGATTCCTGCTGTGTCGAGACTTTTGGTGGACTTGTGCTAAGCACTCAATTCTGGAACACGTACACCGGTCGCGAGTCTGAAGGCCAACTCTTGCCCACCGACACATGGACCCTCCATGGTCTATGGCCGGATTTCTGTAACGGTAGTTATACGCAATACTGCGACTTGAGCCGCCAATACGATCCTATTCCCAGCCCGAACACCACCAACAGTCTACCAAATGGAACATTTGTTCCCCCATATAACGGCTCCAACATCGGCACCTTCCTCGAGCCGTTTGGTCGCTTCGACCTACTCGAATACATGAACACTTATTGGATCGCATGGCAGCAAGACAATCCAGGTTTCTGGGGCCACGAGTTCTCCAAGCACGCAACCTGCTTTTCTACCTTCAACGTTCCCTGCTACGGTCCGCAGTACCGCGAGCACGAAGATGTTGTTGACTTCTTCGAGACAGCTATCAAGTACTACAAGAGGTTCCCGACTTTCGATTGGCTTGCCGCCAAGGATATCACACCCTCAAACTCAACCACCTACTCTTACTCTGATCTCGTCAACGTGCTGTATGAGCAGCATGGTGGCATTCCCTTCTTGGGTTGCTCTGGTCCTAGGTACAATGCGACAGAGGCTGGAAAGAACACGACTGACAGGGGTTACACTATCCTGAGCGAGGTTTGGTACTACGAGCATGTAAGTATTCCATTGAACAAGTATCCGTCGATTTGGAATCGTTGCTAATGTACGTACAGGTCTATGGTCGCCCCCAGGAAGGCAACGCTATTCCTGTCAATGCTTCCGCTAGCTACCTCACCAACTGCGCTACCACGGAAGGCGCAATTCACTACCCAGAGAGGACTAACGGGTCAGAGAAGGCTCCTGTAATCCCGTTCTAAGAACACGTACAGTGTTCAAAATGTATTCTAGCGATTATCCAAAGATATGTAATTAGAGACAATCTCACTAGCACGTCGATTCAAGTTTGGGATTCGCCTTTACGATATGTATGAGAATCGGCAGTTAGTCTCGCATATATGCACATAGATGAGATCAATGTCTGTGACGTGACGCTGGCTAGAGGCATGGGTATCTCCGTACTGGAATTGATCAGGTATTGGAAGAGCTTCTTTGGGTGAGGGAATGCTACTGGTGAGCCAATGGTTAATATACAATGCCAAAGAAATAAAATTTATGGCTCCAACCTTTATCGTAGTCCCATCTCGCTACTGAGTCTGGGTAGATCCCGCTCCAATCGTAACCGAGCTATCGACGGCCTGCGTCTTTAGAACAGTCTGTGAAGGAGCTTGGGTGCTACTATTCTCCTGCATAGTCGCATCCTGAGTCTGAACTTCTGACTGCACACCACCTCTGACATGACTACTGCTCTCATCAGATGTCTGACGCTCATCGTCCGCATGATCCTCAGCTCCATCCATATCTACGTCTGCGTCTTGCTCTTGCGGACTTCGCGTCCTAGAAATTCTGTTCCGGTCGACTTGCTCCTTCTTGATCTGAGTCGCCGTCCTCGTTGCCGGACCACTGTTCCGCGATCGTGGATGCGCGGTATGATCACGATTCTCTTCAAAAACTTGACGTGTATAGTCTTGTTTCCTTCGCGCTGCGTCGATACCGTCAGGAAACATCTTACCCATTATTGCGTTGTGTTTATCGGTCGCGCTTGGGTCGGCAACGTAGCCACTTGGGCTTGGTGTGTCTGGTGCCTGTGCCGAAATCGCGTATTGGGGGTTGGTAGGCGTGAAGCTCGAGCCTGTAGGTGAGTGACTTGCTTGACCGTCTTTGCGCTCGTGTACTTTGCGGAGATTAGCTGCAGAAGATTGCGAACGCATATCTGGCCGGCCGTCTTTGCGTATCAACACGCCATCTGCGTTCCTAATGGGTTTGGTGCGCGTCTTCTTTCCCGACCCATATGGGTCGCCGGGCGATCCAAAGCTCATAGCGCCCGTCACACCTTGTAGACCTAGACTGCTAGCACGGTCGCTGGTTGCGTAGCCGCCACGACCACCGCCACCACTGCCGCGGCGTGCAATGCCTCCACGTCCTGGTTGCCCTACGTGATTGTAGTATCCAGCCGGACTGGTCTGCGAATCGGGAACACCTTGCCAATCATCCCTTTCCCATTCGGGTGTTCCGAGTGTACTGTGGAGCTGGGCTGGCATACTCTTTCTACCTCTACCGCCCCGGCTTCCAGAACCTCCGCTACCACGTGGACGCCCACGCGGTCGATGCTCGATCGTGCGCTGAGACTCAGGTTGCCAACTGGCGTCCGAAGGACCATCTTGTGTGGCGTATGGGACGTGGTACGATTGTTGCGATTGCGATCCATGCGTTGATTCGGGAACAGTTTGCTGAGACGGTATGATATGCGCAGGTGTTTGGAAGCGGTGATCTGTCATAGGCGTTTGCTGTGAAGATGTGTAGCCCGAAGTACCATCGTCCACTAGTCTCTGCCTTTTGGTAGGTTCGGGCGCATGAACATTGCTTCCCTGCGGAGTCTCGACGCCATTCTGATGAGTCCGTTTCACACCTGCATTAACAGTAGCCCATCCACTAGCCTGGCTACTTGTAGGCTGAACACCCGGTGTGGCAGCCGTTGTCGAAGGAGCTCCGAATGAAGACTGTTGAGACTGACCATTGGATATGGGCTGAGATGCTCCGTTAATCGGCGTCAATGTTGGTGTACTTTGGTGTGATGTAGCGGCGGTAGGAGCAGGTTGCGAAGGCTGTGCCACTGATACTTGTGGCGTCCGATACATAGACGGCGGTGCTTGTGAAGGCTCGGGTGCGGCGCGCTCTTCGAGTCGATAGATTTTATCCTTCATGATTTCGACATGGAGCTTCAAGTTGTCTAGGTCACTCGTCTTATGCGACACTTCATTCAACTGCCGCGCGAGAAGCTCCATTGCTGAACTTTGAGCCGCAAAAGACGGGGCCGCAGGAGGCACAGCCGAATTAGCTGACTGTCTCTGCATCCGACTTGCCTGTAACTCATGGTTAATGGATTCCATCGTATGGCGGATGCCCTGCATCTCGCCCTGGAGCCTCGTAGCCAGCATCTCGATTCTTTGGATATCGGCACTTTGTCGAATGAACTTGGCCTGAAATTCTCTGATTGTTTCTTCCATTGCTCCAACCGCCTCCTGGCCAATTCTTATGTCGCGAGTGTGCGCAGCTAAGGCACCACTATTTTGAGACATCTGCGTCTGTAGACGCGCCATAGCGTCTATACCGACATCCTGTGGTGAACGAGGGTAGTGATGGCCGTTTGTTTGAGGTTTTTCTATAGTAGACCGGTCTTGAGGCGTCAGTGTTGGAGCTTCAAACTGACCGCTCGTTGAGTCAACGTCAGGTCTTCCACGAGACCCACGAGCCCCTTGATTATGAGATGAAGAAGACTGCAGTGAACCTTTTGTCGTGTCTTTCGTCACGATGTATGGAGAATCTTGTATCGAAGGGGAGTGCCTCGACGGTGGTGCGATTACTGACTGCCTGCTGCCTTCGATAGGCTGCAACGGTTGCTGTTGTAATATGTCACGATCCTGAGATTGCTGGTACCGACCGCGAAATTGATCTGCATGCTCCACAGATGGTGCACGCGAGTCGATCTCCATGGCCTCGGCCGACAATGCGTTTGGTGTTGCAACTGACGAGGACGGACTGGGTGTATCTTCATTCGCTAACAAATCCGATGAGGTGTCGATCTCAGGTTCGACCACAACGAATTGATTTGATGCTATTTCGCATTGCAATTCAATGCGACCCAGCTTGAAGAAGTCTCGTCCACTGTAGCGAATCGTATGTCAGCCATCATGCTGATGAATGCCGATGACTTTCACCATGAAAATTGGGAATAAGTATGCAAGAACATGCAGAAACTTGCAACATCTATGGGTAATGTCACTTACCGAAAAGATCCCTTTCCTGCCGGTGCAGTGATAACAGTAAACCCGATTGCTATCTTGTGACAACTAGAGTGGGGACAAGACAAAGGCTGAATGGTACTGGTACGAAGTCAGTCCAGAAGCCTTGGGGAGTTTGAAGGAACAACAACACGGAATGCGGGATGCAGAACGCGGGCGGACCGGTTTGATAGATGTTAATCTATACTATGAAAAGATTTGGTACGACTAGCGTGGGTACGCTTAAAGGTAGAAACTTAAAATACCGTGTAACCCGTTGCAGCCGGGATAAGCCCACTCATGTGTTAAGAGTTTGTTGATAGCCGGTCAAGGGTATATGAGGGAAAGATGCGGCAAACAGATGCGAAGAGAAGATCAACGTGAGGATTGGATTGAGCTTACCATCCTGCTAATTCGGTGCCCTTTGACGCCGGTTTTAATTTGCCCATGGGTTGCAAGGTAGAACTGTAAGAGCCCAGAAGCGCGGGGACGTAGTAGCTACCGGTGACCTTGTACCAGGAGTTGTAAAAGTCTCCTACGTTGTTCTTGCAATTCTTACAGAATGCTTTGGCCGCACGATTGACTGGCGGCGAACGTGCAGATGCTTCATCAGCACTTTCCGCAACCTCAACTGCCAGCGGCTGAGCCATGGATGATTGGAGTTCATGTGTTCCCCTGTCTGGATTCATCTCACCAGTGCCGGATCGCCTGGAGCCCGCCGTGGACACAGCCCATTGACTCAGTTGTGCCTTGCGAAGAACTGCAAGTGAGGGGAGATGCTGCACGAAGAGTCTAGATAGCAACGACTAAAAGTCTGGCGATGGAATGTGTACCCAGGTAAGCAGGACTATCGGTTTTCTGGTACGCGACGAATGTATGCGTTCCAATCCAGGATACCGTTTCAGCAAGCGCAGTGAGATTGGAAGCGAAGAGGAAGAGAATGGTATGACCCAACAAAAAATAGGCGGTTGCGGCGGAGGAGGAACCCTGAAAGTCGAGAGCTAGTTCAGAGGGAGGAAAGGGCAAGTGAAATAATTAGCAGGAGTTATTCCATGATTAGCCATGCATGAGTCCGAGTGGAGTTAGCGTGCCTCGCTATCAATTTAGATGGCTCTATTGCGAAAAAGCCCTGAAGCCGTCTCGTGTCGCAAGCTCAACACGCTAGCTCAACACGCTAGCTGTTCCATCTCGTGCGAGTGCGGTCCTGAGCTTTCCAGCTGTGGTTTCCTGTTGTCGACGGAGTGCCGACTTGTACAGGCATGGGCTTGTGTTACTGCATATCAATTATTGGTAGGTATCATCGATTGGGCAGTTTACTCATCCCGGACCACGCGCCGGCTATGTTTATTGCTATCAAATTGCGACGATTACAAGTGCCAAGTCCGGTCCCCGGCATGGGCCAATAAGCATAAATACCTAGGTAAGTCGAGGATAATACAGTATCCGGGGCTATATGGGCGCCCACGTTTATATGCGCGACCATGTCTGGCTAGACTATTTGTCCTGACTGCGGTCCATGGCTTCGTCAGCGGCATTGTCCTAAATGGTACGGTAGCTGCCATGATACCGGAACGATCGCCGCCCGAAATAAGTACACTTCGAGGCAGCCATTATTACCCGCAGGCAGAAATGGATTATGCTTTTATAGAGTTGAATTTCCACAGTCTTCGCCCCGATGGGAGGCGGCGAAAAGCTTTGCACTAATTTAACTTCAAGCAAGGGGAGCGCGGACAGGGATGTTGATTGATGTCATGCAGTACCTACGCCCTTGGCACGATAGTAATCCGCCTTTAATGCTTTCTACCGATAATTGCAAAACACAATGCATGTTCTAGAAAGTGCTCAACCTCTAAAACCGTGCATCTTGATGATCGCATTACACGCCACACTGTCTGAAGGTATCCGTTAAGCGATACGCGCCTGAACACCGCGTAGTACGACACGCTGCGTTGCACGTCGTACGCGCATGCGCGATGCATTGATCTTCTTGCTTTACTTGACAACGATAAATCCTACGCCGTTGCGAGCCTCTTGACAGGCTCTCGAAAGAGCCTGCACCTCCGTATCCGTCCATTTGACACTAAGGTTGTCCCAATTCTTGGTAGCGTATTCGCGACGATACTGCTGTTGCATTGCTTGCAAGCGACGAATCTCTCGAGGATCGCCTGTCCCACTGTACACAATAAAGGCCGTGCAGCGTGGCAAAGCGTCGTATATCTGCCCAATGCGCTCAATGGTCTTGGAGACGGCATCGCCGAGCTCTGATCCACGAACTTCCACGTCTACGTCTTCACCATCCTTCAGAAGACCCAGTCGTTGCAAAGCGTTTTGTCGGATGAGCTCAACGTCGGCTGTCTTCGCGTCGTCCCACCAACCCCTTGCAAGCTCTAGTTCGCGCAGGCGTCCCCAGACAAAGTCAATCTTGTCTGTAGTACCATCCTTGCCTTCAGCTTGACCTTTTAATGTACGATCAATAGCTTCTACTACTTCTGCATCCGTCTTGCAGCCTATAGAAACTTGAGCTTGACCACCATGACCTCTGTTCGGATCCCCCCAGTCGATGACAGCTCCCGCACGATGTGCGTCGTTGGATTTCGGTCGCAAGGAACGATCCATCCTCTTGAAAATGGACTCCGCGTTTGTGTCGCCTGATCCCCAGCGCGGGCCCTTTTCACACTTTTGTTTGACTAGATCGAGACATGTCCGAGCATCTTCTACACTGTCGTGGCCTGATGATCCTTTCTGAACCTCGCGCTTGAGATATTTTTGCGCGAGCCACTTCAGCGACTGCTTGTATGGTGGTCCACGGGGGTGCGGGTACAGGATGCCTGTGTCGATGATAAAGGGATGGGTCAGTTTGAGTGCGTTGAGGTCGGAATTTAGCGAGTGTCCCACGAGAATCGTACGTGGTGTGATCAGTTCCAATAGCTCCTTCTGGATGTCCGCGAGAGTGGTTGTGACATCTTGAAGCATGGCTGCTGTAATACCAGACCACTGGGTCAGGTAATCCTTAATGGTGACATCTGGCTTGACAAGCTTGTCGAGAGCCGTGCTGCCATCCCAGTTCAATAAACTGATGCGTGTGAGTACAAGCTGGTCATTCTCAGCTTTGCACATCTCACAGTCGACGGATATGATGTGTCTTCCAGCGGTCAGGCTCCCTTGTTCAATGTCCCTCTCGGGCACATCACCTTCCTCTAAAGTGGCGACCCTAGTATCAACCCAACCATCATCGGCAGTCTGATGGGCCAGTTTCCTTCTTTCGTAGTTGGCCTCTTTGGATTCTGAGGTTGTGAACATAGCTGGATGCAGTACGTATTCGTTTTCTTGTTGTTCCATAAGGGAGGCCATGTACTCGGTAATGCGAGTGCGCTTGTTCTCCCAATGCTTTGAATTCTGCGGCGTGGGACCTTTGTGGTTCCCAGTCTTCTTCATCTGCTTCTCTTCTTGAGTCTTGGGGATTTGTGAGGTTAGCATGGTATGAATGGGTGAATGCACCCTCATGTATTGGTTGTTGCGATGCTCTCCTATCGCCTTGATAGGCCACACATGCTCAAAGATGTCAGCGAGAGGCTTCAGTGATGCAGGTAATTTGTCCGCCTTGAGACTAGCCGGATAGAAGTCATCACGCGAAACGTTCAGCCGTTTGGGCTTTGCATCCCTTTCGGTTGTTGACGCTGCGGCAGAAGGTTCAGGCTGTGGTGCGGTATCCAAAGCAACATCGCCGTTGAACATACCCAGGTCTAATCCCGGAACCATGAGCATTACGACCTGTTGGATGTTTGCACGGCTGCGTACAGAAACCCACTGCGGCGCATTACCATCCGCAAGCAGGTAGAGCACCAAGGACTGCAAGTCTGTGATCTTCACGTGCGAATTGAGACGGGCATGATGTGAATGCTCAATGGCCGGATAGCTCCTTTGCAGCTTGCGCTCTTTCCTACGTTCCTCCCTCGTCATGTTCTTACTTGCCTGTTCAGAGCCAGCTTTGTATGTGACGAAGGGGTTATCGGCAGGAGAAGCTCGAGTCCCCAGCTGCGCGCCTTTGCCCGCAAACGGGTTGTCGAGAGCAGCATCTTGTTGCGGTGGCGGAGATGACTCCTTCCGCATGCCTTGCCCGTTCGTGTGCTGTGAACGGTCGGGACTGCGAGTTGATGGAGGCGAGTTCGAGGCGCGATGCCTGTTCTGGTCGTCATGTGGGCCGCGTTCCTTCCGTCTCCTCTTCGTTCCGCCGACTACTGTCCAGCCCTCTTCGTCACCATTAGCTGGGGTTGTGGTCGCATCGTCGGGTTGCGCTTCGCCGCGCATGTGCGCCAATGTCGCACCGAGGCCAACATCGGCAGGAGGTCGCTCGTCGCGATCGCCGCGCTTTCGTTTCGCCATCTCAAAGCTCATGCGACCTGCGTGAGACGATTTGGTGAGTGCGAAGTTGTTGTGTGGAGAAGCTCAGGAAAATGTTCGGAGATCCGCCGCATGGATACGCGCTAGCGAAGGCCCATGGAAAGCTTAAGTTTCGTCACATGTCATCTCCCTGCTTCATCATCTACTTTCGAATCCCACGACACGAGTATTCTTCCGTGTTTACCATATCTTCTCCTCGTTTGCCACGATATCCTCTCTGCAACGGCTTTTAGTACGATTCGTTGCGACCTTCATGTATCCCGTCTTGACACCTACCACTATCTGAACATTAGGCCCTGAAGACGACGACACGTACCTTGTCTTAGGAAAGGGGATTGTGCTCGAGTCCACAATTGTTCCAACGCACAATATCACAAAGTCATCGCTCGAGGACATAGAAGTGAGCTGTGACGGTGAAAATGGCAGTGAAGTGAACAAGCTCCGGCAGTTCCTAACAGCCGTTGAGCACAAGTAGAGTGATTGGTGAAGTGAATGGCAGATCGAATCATATCTCCGATACTTAACTAATGAAGGCGAAACAATAAATCTCCACTCCGCGCACCTTTATACTCTACCCTTTGCCCACTTCATGAGACCTTACCCGAGACCCTTGGGGCTTGCTCGAATCCAGAGCTCACCCCACCCCAATGGGATAGCAAACATGCAACGATCCCCAGGTCACTCTAATTCGGCCTCCATAATGGTAACCAAGAACAAATTCATTGAAAAACTGCAGCCGACCAAATGCAGCATCTGTCTCGAGGATTACAACAGCGAGTAAGAAACACTTTCAAAATTGCCTGTCTTCACCACCGTAGTATACTGACAGAGCCTTTCCTAGTCATGTGCCGGTCGAGCTTCCATGCAGCCACATATTCGGCGGCCACTGCATCGTTGAACAGACGGAAAGTAGGATGCCAAACAACAACCGGTGCCCGCTCTGCCGACACGAGCTGTTTGAACAAGAGGACTTCCATTCATTCGACAACACCTTCTACAGCAGTGACGAAGCGCTGGTTGAATTCAATGATTACGGCGACTCAACAGATGAGGACGCGAGAGAACTTGAGGAGCAACAAAATCGACAGATGCTTGCTGCGCCTCTGAATACTCAGCTGGCACATCGTACACAACTCACGAGCAGTATTTCTCTGGCTGGAATCACTAGCGCGCCAAGAACGCAGCGTAATAGTCGTTATCAGGAGTTTAGGGTGCATGCTGACCGAATACGCGAATTGAGGAGGGCGCCCAGTCCAAAATCACTCAGATGCACAAAAATATACACCGAGGTCGAAGAAGAATCAGATTCGGGATCTGATGAGTATGAGTACGAATCAGAAGAAATCGACTCTGCAGATGAACGTGAGGAGAGGCGCGCCTACAAACTCCTACCAGGCGAATACGACACAACCCTACCTGACCAGTCTTCTGCATCACACTAATCATGGATGTTAATTTGGGGATTGGTGTCAGATTTGATGTTGGACCGTGGTCTTGTGCCTACTACTGGCACCATTGAGTGACATGGGTGATTTGGGGAACTAATAGCAGCAACGGGCGTTTCAACAAGGTTTGCCTAACATCAATGCTATGTCTGATTGATGGAAACCAGTCGAGGTTATGTGCAGGTTGCATGTCTTCAGCTCTCAGGTTTCTGACTTGTCTAGCATAGAGAATGAAAATCATGCCAAATTGTACAAATTCGTTCTATTTGTGATGTATGTACAGGTAAACGAGCGTAAAAGCTAAACAAGAAGATTGAATGAAACCACAGCAGACCACAAGACAACATTGACCACCTTACTTTGTCGCGGCACGCCCCTCGATCCTCTGTCGAATCGCCTCACAGATATATTCCCCTCTTTGGACTCGCTCACGCACGAACGATCGAGGTAGAGAAACCGCTAGGAGCGGGACCAGTGGGAATGCCGGACGGGCGAGGAGCATAAGTCGGCATAGCTCCAGAAGGACGAGGTCCACGAGACATTCCAGAGGGACGGGCGCCTGTAGGACGGGCACCATGAGGAGGCATGGCGCCGGAAGGTATGCCAGTAGGACGGGAATGAGGACCATGAGGAGGCTTAGAACCAGACGGTATACCAGAGGGCTCTCCGGACTCTTGACGCTTCTCTACGCCAGTAGGAACGGTGGACAAGGATCCAGTTGGCTCGGGCAAATTGCTACCATGTCCGCCGTGGCCGCCGTGGCCGCCATGCATACCACCAGTAGGGCGAGCCATACCGCTCGGGAAGCCGGAAGGCATACCAGTACCAAAAGGAACTCCGCTATCATGTGCGTGTTGAGCTTGAGCTACACCGCTGGGACGAGGTCCACGATGGCCATGTCCACCATGCATGTGGTCGGATGGCTGAGCGGCGCCACTGGGGAAAGCTCCAGAAGGCATTCCAGTTCCCATAGGAGGCATGCCGGAGGGGAGGTTGCTGGGGAGTTCGCCGTTGAAAGATTGAGCACAGCTGAAACCGGTGACGGCGAGTGCGAAAGCGAGACGGGAGAATGCGACCATCTTGAAAACTTTGTATATTGCAAGATGATTTCTGTAGTGGTGTTGGTGTACTGCTTGTTGAAGTGAAGGCACGCGGTGCTAATGAGTGTAAAGTGAATGGAAGCACACAGTGCTGTTGAAACGAAGCTGCAAAGAGAAAAGTGCGAGTAGTGAAAATGAAAGTTGCTGGGTGGTTGATGAGAGAAGCAGCGCAGGACATCTTTATACTGAAGTTGCTCCTCTCTGAACCTCAACAACATGACACGGCTCGGATACCATGACGCAGCGTTAAGATGCTTCTGGTTCAGAATTACCCTGAAGCCACGTATGTGGCTGCGAGGTCAAGGGGGTTGTCATTTACTTGACGCCTGCCATTTGACTCCTGGCTCGAGATCTTCTCACAGTGGGTTATCTGAGGGAGAACCGTCAATCAGCTTAGTTCGTTTGTGGACTAGGGATGTTACGTCGTGAGCGCTGTGGTTTGGTTCCATGGCGCGGCCTAGACAACATGAAACGCGGAATGACCCGTGAGCTTACGTACCATAGCTCAACATTGACTTTTAGCATTAGGCGGTGTCCGTACTAGATGACGACTGTCCAGCTTACCAGCTATTGTTCGTTCCATTTGATGAACGCAACATGAGCAGATCAGCACACATAGAAGCCCCATTGCTCAGCTGGGATGATTTGTTTAGTCACAAATTTAGTCCGGCCCAAGACGAGTACCGTGCTATTCAAACAATGATGTGTAGTCCATGACAAGCCGAGGATTTTCAATCCTTGGGGCTTGTCTGCTCAAGCTTAACTTAGTATTTGCGATCCATGGGTCCCCGGGACCCGTAATGACCGCCATGGTACGTTCTGTACCATGGACTTGTTTGTTTGAAACATGACTTCCGCTGTCTCGTAGCCGCACTTCATCTCCATATCGCGATAGCAATGGAAGAACGTTCTAGCGGAGCATGTTTCGATACAATGCCAAGACCTGGTTGATGACGCGGCTCGTGTTGTCATTTTTGAGTGGCAGCTTCAAGGCAAGCAACGCAAAGGAGACGAAGATGAATTTTGGCCAAATGACGTTGTTCTCGAGTTTTCTTCTTCATCGAGAGCAAGGAATCAAGTGATCACACCACTACTGGTCGTTGTGCGATGGGAGCTGCGCCTTGTCAGAATTAGCATGCCTAGCAGCAGAACTCAGACATCAGAACTTACGGTACTGATTCTCACCAGGCTATCATGTGGTGAAAAAAGGCCAGCCTTGTCAGTGCCATCTGCCGAATCATCTACCTTTGTGGACATTGAGCCATGTACGAGCTAGGAGTTGGTTTTGGACGTAGAACTTAGCCGGTATGTTGTGTAACATCGCGACGACGCATGTCAGCAGTTGTGCAGATATGATGCGAACTTCCACTCGATATGGCTGAACACCGCTTGTTCACTCGGCATTTCGCGCCAGATGAGTATCCATTTCCCGCTCTCAGCTGTCGTCTATTTTTTCTACACCTATATCGTAAGCCTCTAATACTTCTATTTGTACATACGCTCATCCACATTCATCGTCAGCATTTACGCTTGGTCCGGATCATTGGCGTTTCTATAGTTTTCCTCTCCTGCCATCGACTGCTTCCCTGAGCTTCTTGATCACGTCGCCAGGGTCTGAAGCACCGAAAACAGCACTGCCAGCAACAATGACATTAGCGCCGGCATCAGCGGCTTGATCGATAGTCTTTTCGCTCAGGCCTCCGTCGACCTCGATGTGCATCTCTGGGTACTTTTGGCGAAGGGCGGTTACCTTGGGCAGCTCGGATGCCATGAAAGACTGTCCACCGAAGCCAGGTTCTACAGTCATAACTAAAACCATCTGCAAAAGTCAGCACTAGACTTTCAACGCATGTGACCTAGGCGATGCAAGTCTTGAATATCGAGGTTATTGATCCTGCGGGAGCAGCCAGCGGCGTGGGCGGGTAGGTGCCGACGTGCAACCTTGGGGACGGCCGGATGGCCAGGTGGCCAATGGACGGACAGTCGATTGGGCAACATGGGGCAGGCTTCTCGAAAGGGCGCCAAGGTCAAGACTGATTGACAGCGGGCGTTGCGGAAGTTGGCATGCCTAAGCGCCGCCACTGGGTGCCGCCCACGCCCCAACAAGGTCAGCCCTACCCAGCCTCGCTTTGCTCGACCACTTCCGAGGCCTCTCTAACCACCATATAGCGCGTGCGGCCCTTTGGTGATATCGATTGCGGTGATGAAAGCATGATGGTGCAGGGGTGATGAACTCACATCAGGAACCTCGTCCTTATTTGGGTTCTCTAGTATCTCCCACAGTACGTCGACCGGTGTGCTTGGCTTGATGGCAATGCCGGCCTGCATGCCCTCGTTATGGATGAATTTTACCAGCTCCTTGGGGGATGTCTTCTGGTCCGACTTGCCACTGGGCGAGTCTGCAGCGGTTGACGAGACGGCGGCTTCGTAGTGGAAGCAGTACAGGTCGCAGCCAGCCTTTTTGAAGTCGCGCACCCACCTCTTGGGCTCGGCAATCATCATGTGGCAGTCAAATGTTCCCTTGCCATGTGCAGTCGTCGGTCGATCGACGTGTGAGCGAATCTTGGTTACGACGGGCGCGCCAAAGGTCATGTTGGGCACGAAATGGCCGTCCATGATGTCGACCTGCACGTGTCAGTTGCGTGCGCCAGAGTCCGAAACTCACTCTCGCGTACGTGAAGCCAGTCGGCGCCTTGGGAGATTGTATCGGAGCATGCCTTGCCCAACGCTCCGAAGTCTGCCGAAAGAATCGACGGCGCGATGATGGCAGGCGGTGACATGACAGGCGGTTCTAGTGAGCGTGCGGTGTGTATAGGTGACTTGGTGGAGCGCCAATGGTAGGTATTGGGTGGATGTGGAGATTGCTAGTGTGACGGAGCTCACGATAGCTTTTTGGTGTTGACGGCATCAACAGCGTCACGCCTGCCCCTCCACCCATGCCCCGCTGCTGCTTGGCATGCCTCACCTCTGTTCTTGTTCATGCAAACCTCCCAACTCACCACTGCACGTTTCGAATCAACAGCGTTTCCCACATGGGGCCGTCCATGCTCTAGACTGAATGAGACCTGGGCTATTGTTGTACCTCACTGATCGACAACCGCATCGCGGGTCGCGTGTCTGTACTCGCTACACGGCCGCAACGAGCTCCGGCACTACGGCCGTGTCTTTCCATCTCATATGGCGCGGCATGACTACATGACAGCCTTTCGATCAGCCACAACCACAGCCTCGCGTACGGTCCAAGGCCGTGAGACAATATCTAGCCCCGCAACAAAAATCGATTTCGACGAGGCACTATTGGGCGAGTATGCAGTACAACGCCGCTGCGTCTTGTCATTGGTCACGCATGCAGAACGCGAGCACTGCAAATAGCACAGCCCGGCGCTTACATACCAAACACCCAACCACGCCATGCAGCGCAACGTTTCTCTAGCCCAAAGCTTCTAGCGCAGGGTAGATGCCTTGCTGGCCATAAACTTGCGTTGGCCAATCATGACATGTCCGTCGTCTTCGCCATGTCGTGGCCGTCCTTGAGCCGCTACCGCCTCTCCACCTAGACTCGGCTCTCTATGCGAGTGGACGGCCAACTGGCAGTGTAGCTCGGACGAATGCCACAGTAACGCTAGCACAGAGGCACTCGACGAGTAGGCGTCTACGCATGATATATCCTCTGACCATCGCGCTCGCGCCGCATCTATTCTCCTTCTGCCATTCACTTCTAGCCCTTCTCCGAGTCCCTTCTTCCGCTAAGTCTTCGTTGATCGAAGCAATTCCATTTTTACCAGTAAGCTGTTGACCAGCGCAATTTTGGGCTCTTGCTCATCTTAATATCGCTTCTATTCGGCTCCCTGTACTTCTGTATTTGGATCCCTACCACCCTCGCCGCATTTCCACCTACTCGGATTTTCAAAGGTATCTTTAGTAATACTAGCACGCAGCGGTGCTCACGTCACCGCAATATACCATCATGCCAGAGATGCTTGAGCCCGCAGTATACCATCCTGCGAGCCTTGGCACAATGGCCAACTCTCATCATGGCTTGTCTCCGCTGGACCAGAGACAGTCACTTAATGCCCCCGAAGACGAGTCTACAATATCCTCCTACTACTTCGAGCCAAGATATTCGACTTCTTCGACATACCTGCCCAGTGCTGTATCACCTTCTAGTATTGACGACTTCCCTACACCCAAGGCACGCTTATTCGATATGACCCCGCAGCCATCGCCACGCTTTCCTGTTCACTCGGCTACATATCCCCCAGTAAATCGGGCGAGTCGTGCTGACAGCGACTTCGACTCCCTTTACGACATTACCGATGACGAGGCTGAGGTACCTCTTCATGCATCCGCGTCGGTCAAGAAGCTCGCGACCCAGCCAAGGCAGAGACGCTACCCATCGATCGTTATCCCCTCGCCATCTGCATGGCCGACCATTGAGAAGTTGAAGAGTGCAAACTCGGCGATGCCCGTTACTCCATCGCTGGTTCTGACCCCCTCTCGTCGCTTCCTTGACATGATCGACTCGCACAACCTTCATGTTCCTGCGCACTCAGCTGCCCCCTCCTTGGATGGCAGCCTCACATCAGAAGAGATGGACAAACTCAGCTGCCCTGCTACTCCAATCTCGCAACGCAGACGTGGATCCATCTCCAGTACCGACTCATGGGGCCCTGTGCAACTTGACTTGCAGGCCATGGAGACCCTTCAGCACCTAGGCAATTCACCATCGACAGAGCAATACGAGGAACCTGAGCAACAACAGCCTCATCCGGTTGAGTCCAGAGGCGAGATGCAAGAAGTACCCCGACCAAGTCTTGGCTTGAGCATTCCGTCAACAATATTCGGAAATGGATCCACTGGTAGTACACCGATTTCCGCTCTCTCAGTCCCTTCTCCCGGTGGTTTCTTCTCGTCGCTTCAATCAACCGCTCGTCACACCTGGAGTATTCCCAAGCGACAAGAGTCGATACCAAACACCTCTACTGCCGAGAGGTTTTACAACCTTCCATGGGAGAAGGAGAGCCGAAGGAATACCTCTCCGCACCCTGTGCCAGCTGTACCAGCTCTTCCGCCGCGAAATTCGACCCTTGCCGGATCCACTCTTGATGGTTTCGATGAGCCCTTGTCGACATCACGCCCAGTACTTCTCAGTAGCCCGACAGATGAGAACGTTGAGATCAAAGAGATCAACCCCAGCAAGACAATCTTTCAATACGATGAGAACTATAATGCCGGAGGTACTGCTAACCTTGAGATGACTGGCCGGTGGTTGGAGGAACAAGACGAGTTGCAAGCTGCTCTTAGAGACATGAATGACATGAGCTCTCCTAGTCTCTCAAGTGGCGCGCACAGCCGCGGCAACTCAGTTGAGAAAGCCGTGGTCAAGAAGTCGGTCAAGTTTGCGGATGAGCCTGCTAAGTCTCCGGTGAAGGAATCAACCGATGAGCCTATCGTTACTTACGTCCAAGGCCTTGAGTATCTTCGTTCCCGGTGTCAAAAGAAGGATACTTTTATCCACCGCCAGACTCGTGCTGAGGCCATGCACGTACAACGCCGTTGCAGTCCTTTGGCGCATCGCGATCAGCTCCTGGGCAAGTTTGAGCTTTGTCAGCCAGATCGTCCAGCGCCTCCGCGTCCTGTTTCTGAGTTCTTCGTCAACGATCCGACTGTTTTAAAGGAGAGGATTGCACGTGCACAGATGGAGCGTCAAGCGCTCGACCAGATGCTGCCTATTCATTGGGTTTTACAAGCCCAGAAGCAACTCAACGGTGGCAAACTCCTCAGCAAGCCTGCAGTCCGATGCATCACTCGCGCTAGCGCTCCGCGCGTCCTCGATGTTGGTGGTATTGCTACCAATGATTGGGCATGGGATGTTGCATACGATTACCCCTACGCCAAGGTGATTACCGTCTACACCGCTGGCAACAACAAGTCTTCCAACGTCAAGGGTCCAGACAATCACAAGCACCTCACTGTTCCTAACCTGTGGACTCTCCCATTCCCTTCTGGTCACTTCGATGTCGTCTCTGCGCGTACACTATACGAGCTTCTCAAGACCAGCAAACCCGTCGGTAAGTCATCAGATGAATACGACCTGTGCTTGAAGGAGTGCTACCGCTGTCTCAAGCCTGGTGGCATCCTTGACTTCAGCCTCATGGATGCCGATGTTGTCCATGCTGGCCGTAATGCTCAAGCCATGAGTGTCGAGTTCGGCTTCAACCTCAAGACACGCGGCTACGATGCGCAGCCCACCAAGACGTTTCTTCCGCGCATCTCAAAAGCGGGCTTTAGGGACGTACAAAGAGCGTGGATGCTCCTTCCCATGGGCAAGACGGCAGCAAACTGGCGCGACACACTTGCTGTTGGCGCCGAGCCAAAGCATCAAGAGCGTCGCATCACAGAAGACGGCGAAATTGAGCTCGAAGATGCACCAGTGTTTGGTACTACGATGGATGCGGCAATGTTGACGGGTGTAGTAGGAAGCTGGGCATGGGAAAGGTGGTTGCTTAGGTTGCAAATGGAGATGGGCAAGGATGAGGAGAAGCTACTGGAAGGTGTTGTCAACGTGCTAGAAGAGGGCGCACAAGGCCATGCTGGATGGCGAACATTGAACGGCTGGGCGAGGAAGTGATGGAGAGGAGAGGAGAGGACATGATGTGGTTACGATGGCGTAGGATAGATTGGGTTCGATAGGCTGGACTTGCCTGGACTAGGTTGATACCACATAGCGAATTTCTTTTGTAGATAATCCAAGATAGTGTCGGAAATATTTGAATCACGTCTTGTAGTGTCTGATTGTCTCTATGCATCGAACATAATGGTGGTGCTGGGCCAGAGGGGTGAGGCGGCAGATCAGCCTCGCTCGCGCCGGCGCGAACCCCACGCGGTCCATGCGCTGCGCATAACCTCGTCACTCTGCCATATACACCCAGAGCCGCGTCCAACACTCCACACAACTCGAGTCCAGTTACACACGCCATCTCCTACCACAGGCTCGTGTTCTATACCCAGAGAATGCTCTTCTTCAGGTCCGTTTCCATTCCACGCCCAGCATCACACACGTGCTAACAGCAGCGCAATAGCTTCTTCAAAACGCTCGTCGAGCACGAAATCACCGTCGAACTCAAGAACGAAGTCCAGATCCGCGGCACACTCAAGAGCGTGGACCAATACCTGAACATCAAGCTAGACAATGCCGAGGCTGTGGATGAGCTGAGGTGGCCGCATCTGGTATGTTTTGGACATTGCGATTCTCCCCTGCTCAGGACGAGGTAGCATATCTCGGACAAGGCTTTGGGCGTTGTAAGAAGCAACTGAGGCTGATTTGGCGACAGTGCTCGACAAAAGACATGTTCATTCGCGGCTCCGTCGTAAGATACGTGCACCTTCCCTCCGGTGCTGTGGACACCGCTCTGCTTGAGGACGCGACGAGGAGAGAGGCCGAGGCAGCGAAGAACAAGGCAAAATGAGATGGCGGGGGCATAAGAAATTAGGATAACGCATGAAAAGACCACCGTTCCAGGTGGCTGTGCGAGGCAGTCAAGATGAGCATGTGCGCATGCAACGTGATGTGATGACCAAGGGCATATCACAGTTTGCGGCCAAGCATAAGAGCTGGACGTTGAGAGAGTAGCGATTGGTAAGGCCTTAGGAACGCAATATGCGCCTGCAAGCAAGGCGAAAAGAATATACCCATACGAAGAGTGAGGTGAGACCACTTTTTGGCTTGTTCCTCTTCTGCAATCTCTACTTCTATTCTCCATCTGTTTGCCCTACCTACCTTGCCTCTCTCCTGATGCCACAGCGTTCAAATCGCCCGGTCAGACTAATCAAGGATCTGCCATCAAAGTCAACCCCGTCTCTGAGGTGGTTGTGCTGTCCCTCGGTTTTACTAACTCATGACAAGCGTGGTATCTATCTGTACCTATCTACACGGGACTATGTTAGATGTGTTGCAAATTCTTCACATTGAGAAATGTCGTACAGGTCGCCTTCACTCTCACTTTTGCGCACTCCAATTTCAGCCCACAAACGTTTGGTAACTATTCATCTCTGAGACTTTGTCCATCCCCAAACACCTGCACTCGCTCTCGCAGCCACAACAAACACCCTTCGGGATCAGATACTACGTGTCTATAGCTGCTTTCAAAGTCGTGACGATATTCCCAGCAACCATGGCAAACATTGTCCGACCAGCAGTGACTCACACTGACACCAGTCCTATCGAAACACACACAAACACACCGACATCTGAAATTGCCACACCCCTCTCCCCTATCACTATCGGCCTCGTCTGTGGTCTGGGTGGATGCGGCATCCTCGGCTTCTTCATCTGGGCGATTGTTTACTTCCGATGGTTCAAGCCGATTGAGATGCGGATCAAGGAGGGAGGAGCACGAGACTACAACACACCCACGGCCGAGCGGAATAAAAATAAGAACAGGAACAGCACAATTACGAACGTAACACAGGGTATATTCGCACACAACGCAACCGGTATTTCAACGGGAAGGCCGTCTACAGATGGAGATGTCTACCCTTCTATAGGTATGGCAGTCAATACTGCTCTCGAAAGGGAAATTCTTGACATTCTAGAGGCGGAAGTTGATACTATACGGCGGTGTCGGGGATTGGGCTCAGGGCTTGTATGAGGGGGAAGGAGAGGCTGTCAGTGGAAGACTGGAACAGGGTGAGGAGATTGAGGATCTGTTGACTGGTCTTGAGAGTCTACAGAAGTATGTAAAACATTGGCTGTGAGTTATTAACTCGGACTGACGAATTAGACAGTCGCGCTCCGTCGCACGTTCGCTAGGCTTTCAGGGTTTGCTGCTACCTTTATATCTGCCAATGGCAAATCCAAAAACTGTAAAAGGGAATAGCTTACGCAAGGAAGCCATAGAAGTGGGCTACTCAAGAAAACATACTCGTAATCAGCCTTCTGTAGTCATATTTACTCGTCATTCATTTATCCTTCCCCATCCCCATCTAAAGCAATGGGTCTTCCCATACAACTTCCTCAACCGTCTCCCTTCTCATTCCAAGCATCTCGTATCTTTTCGGCTTGAACATCTCGAACAAGCTCTTTCTCAGAGACTTGTCAGTATCGCTCTCCTTTTTCTTTCTGCTAGTCTTCTTCTTCTTCTCTTTCCTTCGGCGCTTCACTTCCTCTTTTACCTCATCTGATGAGTCAGAGCTCCAACGTAGCTTCGGAGAGTCGGTTTCACGCCAGGAACGTACGTCTTCCTCGATTGCTGGGGATACCTTTCGTTTCTTAAGCAGAACATTCCTATTTGGTGGCTGTGTTGGAGACGGAGCGGGATGGAACAGGAAGTTCGCTGCTCTGGTGGCGAGAACAAGTGTGATGAAGAAGACGAGTGCTGCTTTAGCGAGTATCATAAGACCACGTTCTTCTGGTGATGCGGATTCTTCGAGGAGGAGGCGGGCGGCGAAGAGAGAGAGGAGGATGCATGGTAGCACGATCCATGCAGTTTGACCTGAGAGTAGCGCCATGATGTTGAGAGATTGTGGGTGTTTAATCAGATAAGGAAATTGGGCGGGTGAGAATCTGTTTGAGTTGAGGTTCGTGTGTTTGCTTATTCGTTTATATTCCGTCAGTTTGAGTATACAAGTGCCAAGTAGACGGAGCTAAGTACATGATTGCGCGTTTGTTCTAATCGCTCTTTTGCTCCGAATTCTTGTGCACATGCATTCACTCTTTTCACGCTTGTGATTTACCTCCTCGACCATATCTGCTCTCCGATTGCGCGATTTGTTTTGCGCCTCTGAAGTAGCGACATCGTCAAGACGGCGATGATGAAAACTTCAGAGATAAACACTGTTATCACAACTTCTATGGACGTGTCTAGTTTTCTGAGAACGAAAGAAACATCCAACAAAGAGGCTGCAACGCAGAGACCTGTTTCTATGTGGGATACAGTACTGGCTTGTGACATGGTTGCTGGGTGTTGATGCTGTCTCAGATTCAGAGACTATGAAATTTAAAGGTGGGTATAAAAACAACCCTGCGTTAAAACGTGGCTGCGTGCTAGACGGGTCTTCTTTTGCTTCTCGGTTGGTGTAAGTAGGTTGCTGCTTCTTTCATACTATGAGTAACTTCCCCAAGTCGACATGCTACATGCCCTGCACCAGAACATGAACTCGCAATAGTTCCCACAAACAGTCATCCGACATCACATTCAAAACGAGACAAGGTTCTGGCCAAGGTCGGTCGATCTGAGCGTTCAGTTGAGGAAGCAGACAAGTATCGACGTATGCTCTAGGCTTCACGGATGCTTCGTCATCTCTGCAACATGCGATCGTAAAAGGGAACGCGTCACTTGAAGAAGGAAACAGGTGCAAAACATGAAGCCGGCATAGTTGAACAACGAAAGGATAACTATTGAGTGACCCCAAAGCTGCATGCGCAGTTTCTGACACTTCCGAAGATGTTCATACCACGTCTGCTCCTAATGCTGCTCGGCCTAATAGTCTTCTCGCCCATCACACGTTGCGGTGTGCGCGCGGCTAAACCAACCGGATCTTGTGATGAGCCCAAGACTCATCAGCCGTCGCCCTTCTAGCTAAGTACGCCATCGAAACTTATTTTCACATACATCAATAGCGGCAACAGGCTCTCTGTGGGCGAAGTCCTTGTGGTGAGGTCAGATCTGACTTTGTGTACGACATTGGCCTGCAGGAACATGCTATATCCAACAGGACACTAATGATCGACGCAGGGGGTTGGGCACGCGCCTCCTGCATGAGCGTTTTACATATTGTCGGACAGGATCAATATTGTGACAAACCGAGGCATTCCCTAGTCTGGCGAGCTATGATCGGATCCGAACATGGAGGTATATCCGCTGGGACGATGCTGCCATGGTACGCAATGTTGGCGTATTATGGATACGGCGGAAATGACGATCTCGGGCACGCCGTTGATTCCGGACCAAGATGGTGGCTTGGAGAGTGTTGTTGGGGAACAGAGTGACATGGAATCTACTCGCACGTGGAGAGCATCTTCTTCAACACGCCCATCAGCGTACCATTCTCGAGGGCAGCGGCGACCCTCTCCTTGTCTCCGAGCTGCTTGTTGACCTGCTCATCAGTGCTGTGGGTGCCCTTTTTTATGCGGACATCGACGCGGAAGCGTGGGGGTAGAGCGTGCTCGAGGCGGACGCGGACACCTAGGCCGATGACAGTGGCCAGGGAGCAATGGGTGATGGTCGGGGTGATCTCGACGACGACGGTGCTGATGTTGGAAAGCGGTGAAGAGGGCGGCAGAATGTGAATGTCGGGCAGGTTGACGACAGACAGCGAGCCGAGGGACAGCGGGTGTTCAGGGTCGCAGATGGTGGAAATGAGGTCTGTCATGCGCGGGGTCAGCCAAAGTTAATTTGATAGAGAGCCACCATGCGCGCCCACCGTAAATTTCCTGCTCATCGATGTCCTCACGTGCGTCGTCACTATCAGATGCGCTTGCCGACACAGAGTCGTCGAAGGGGTCGCTGAGGTAGTTGTAGCGCGGTATCAAGTCATCAAACAGGCCGGTCCCGCCGTCATCGCGCCTCTTGACTGTCGACTCGCTGCGTCGGGAGGGCAGATCCGAGGGATTCAAGATGGTTGGGTTGGCGTTGTCCTTGTCGAGCTCCATTGCCGTGGTTTGCAGGGGATGCGTCGTCTTGGTGTAGTGGTGGCTGAGGGAAGGAGCCGTCGTGGGCTCTTGCCTCTCCAGCAAATCTGCGAGGAAGGTGCGCCCGGACCACCCGCAGCCCCTCCTCGGTGTTCGTCGTCTAGCATGTGCCAGCCAGCCAGACAGTCGGAACCAGTCAACCGCTATTGGTCCTTCACCCTCACCACCCTCTCCCACACACTTCGCCCGGCCATGGCCGCCGGCGCCGCATAGGGATTCCTGGATGCCTTACCAATTGCTCAGTAATATAATAATTTCCCGCAGATTATCCGCGACACACAGGGGACACTTGGGTGTGGGGTGCACCGTTCACACCACAGGGTACCCGTGTTTGACTAGTGTCTGCAGATGCCGAGCAGCATCATGTCATTCGATCACGGCGCCGGGGTATGCAGTTCGTCAACTCCTGCGCCCATCTTGCCGTCTCCCTCGGCCAGTCTCGGCCAACCTCCAGTGCGCATCTAGAAGGTGAGAAGCATCGCGGCTGGCGAGTGTGCTTGGGCTTCATCGGCAGCCGACGCTTCCGGCTGATCGACCAGCTCGACGACTCTTCGCGCTTTGCACAGGCATGTTGATCATGTTATCGAGGCTTTTGAGACGACCGTGTCGCTCTATAACTCACTGTCGTGCTGTGGTGCAAACAACATCTGTCGGCTCCTCCCGCACTGTACTGCCTTCAGAACGGATGTGCTGCCTCATCCGGTGCACGACCAACCGTGCTGCTGGATTGTCCCTGCTTTGATTGCCGTGTTCCTGAGCTGCAGGGAGATCAACGGCAGTGATCAGCGCAAGATGAGGTCAGTATTCGCGTTATCTTGCCTGGACGCCACGGAAAACACTGCGCTTCTATCGACCTTCCATGTGTCGACGGTAGCCTGGCGCCAGCACCTGTCAGTCATCGAACCATCCCGTCTCGCTCCATCAAGATGCGACTTGGCAACGCCCGTCACGTCTCTGCGTGATCGAAGCTAGCAGAAGTGACCTGGTTGCTATTTGCCTCTGCCATCGCAGCCATCATCATGCCACCTGCCCGTCGGGCAAACTAAGCTGTTCAGCTGCACAGCCTTTTCGCCTGCCGCGCAAGAGCGAGCGCGACCCGGCAGTATGGTTGACAGATTAGAAGAGGGTGCCTAAGGAAAGGGACTTTCGACCCTAACCTTAGCTTTCCATGCAATCTTCGGTCGTTCTTCATGTCATGCAATCGCCCGTGGCGGACGAGAACACGATCCATGCATCGGATCGAAGCCTTCTCCAACTTCTATCAGCTATGTTTCGCTTCACGGCCGCAATACTCGTATTCGGTTCATGCAGTACCATGCCGTCTGTCTGTGCAGACTACATGTCCAAAAATCATCTTAGCCCAACAGAGAGTAGCCATCTGGAGTAATATTGTTTCATGCAGGCTACGCTGATGGTGATGCGTCTGCCGTTAGAACCTTGCATGCAGATGGCCCTACCAAGCTTCCGTACGAATCAATTCGCCGACGTGTCGAGCTCAAGGACACACACCGGTTCTGCCGTAGGCTCTGCGGCATATGACGGGATCGCGTATGCCCAACCCGTCCAAAGCCTTTTGAGTGAACGTCGAGTCTGAGGCCATGGAGATGCCACCGATGAAGACGGCGGCACATTACCGAGGCCGACACGCGACGTCGAGTAGTGGACGCCTATCCTCACACCGTGTCGAGCCAAGTCATTGCCGCAACTATGTGGACAAGACTTGTTTCGCTTTGGTCTCCCTGAAAGTCGTGCAGCGTCCTACCAGACGAATGTTCGTACCCCTATCTAGTCTGCTATAGCCGTACACCTGTTGTATTATATGTCGGCTAAAGCATAACATTCGTCATCGAAGCTAGCATTCGGAGATCACTTTCTAGAAGGCCCACCTGTCATTGCGGTACACTGCCAGACCATGTCTCAAACATTCAGGCACCTAAGGCTGTGCGAGATGAGAAACTAGGTACGACTATGAACCGACTAAATGCACGCGCAAGGTTTTCGAAATCGTCCAGCCCTATCACGGGCAGGACCGGGCTTCTGCAGTCTACTGGTCACATTTGATCTTCTTTTTCTGGGCAATCCAGCAAATGCACCCGCCACCAAAACCTCGCGACAGATTGCGTACGCGGTCCGCTGAAGGGTTTTACTTGCCTTGGAATGTGCTGAGTGAGAGCGGCGCCGTGTACGACGGCCTTTTCAGCTGTCAGACTTTGCCCCCGCTGATTTTATAGCAATCGTTCCCGGCCCATGGCAGCCTTCAAAGGTCCACACTACCCGTCGTTCTACGTGTTACGATTCAGGCCATTTCTAACGGGCACGACAATCCCTGCGTCCCATTGCCTCACACCCCCACAGCACGGCAGTTCCCTGTGCCCGCAGCATCTTGGAAGCGGACGCTTGCGCTCACGCGCGTGCAGCTTGGGCGCCCATACCAAAGGCGCTACTTGTGCAGCAGTGCGGCTCCTGGATCCTGCACGCTTAAGTCGCATATCGTCTACCCCTCGCCCGCCTATCGACCCCTTCATACACGGTGAACCGCCTAGGACCACAATACTCTCGACTCTCAGGAGATCCATACACTGCGACGCCACTATTGTGCGCGTGAGCCACGCTGCGAGCCGGCTGCCAGTGCGTCTTCGAAACCCCGGCATGCCAGACATCGTCTCCACCTACCATCCCTATGCGCCTTCTGCCCTGATCTGCCGTATAACCTAACGACGCCGCGGCGTCGCGGAGATTTCCCTTGCGCTACAGGATTCTACAGTGCATCTATTCTCGATTTCGCATTCTTTGTGTTTAGTTCTGGCCTTTCCGCGAT